GTTCCCCACCACCTGGTCCAACATTCTCTCCAATGGAGGTTGTACAGAGTGGTCAGAAGAGATTAAGACCAAGTGAGAGGCAAACAGTCATGAGAAAAACGGTTGGTGAAGAAATGGTTTGAAGAGAAGGCATCAGAAGGACTAAGGAAAAAAAAAATCTCGGGATGTCCAAGAAGCAACGCCAGGCATCAACCTGAATCCTTCCCTAATTATAATTAAGAAAGAAATTTAGGGGTGCCTGGGTGGCTCAGTCGTTAAGCGTCTGCCTTCGGCTCAGGTCATGGTCCCAGGGTCCTGGGATCGAGCCCAGCATCGGGCTCCCTGCTCCACGGGAAGCCTGCTTCTCCCTCTCCCACTCCCCCTGCTTGTGTTCCCTCTCTCGCTGTGTGTCTCTCTCTGTCAAATAAATAAATAAAACCTTTAAAAATAATAATAATAATAATTAAGAAAGAAATTTGTGTTGTTTTCCAGGAATTTCCACACCTTTGGAAGGCATGCGATTGGACAAAGGAGGTGAAATATTCAACCAACCTATAAGGTCCCCATTACTCATGATGGAAATTTCTATGGGTTCTCGAAAAAAATGTGTAATGCATTTTGCTAAGTGAAAGAAGCCAGTCTGAAAAGGCCACATACTGTTTGATTCTAACCCTATGACATTCTGGAAAAGGCAAAACCGTGGAGAACATACAAAGATTAGTGGTTGCTTGGGGCTGCGTAGGGAGGAGGAGGTAGGAGGGACGCATAGGGGGAGCGCAGGTGATTTTTAGGGAGGGGAAACTATTCTGTATGATACCGAAATGGGGGGATACACGCCATTATGCTTTTGTCAAGACCCATACAAGTGAACATAAAGGGGGAACCTTAATGCAAACAATGGACTTTAGTTAATACTAATGTACTGATACTAGTTCATTAATTGTAATAAATGGGGGCACCTGGGTGGCTCAGTTGGTTAAGCATCTCTTATTTTTTTTAAAGATTTTATTTATCTATTGGAGAGAGAGCGCACAAGCAGGGGGGAGGGGCAGAGGGAGAGGGAGAAACAGACTCCCTGCTCGATCCCAGGACCTCAGGATCACCACCTGAGCCAAAGGCAGAGGCTTTAACTGACTGAGCCACCCAGGAGCCCAAGACGTCTGACTCTTGATCTCAGCTCAGGTCTTGATCTCAGGGTCATGAGTTCAAGCCCCGCACTGGGCTCCACACTGGGTGTGGAGCCTACATTAAAAAAATAAATAAAATAGGGCGCCTGGGTGGCTCAGTTGGTTAAGCGACTGCCTTCGGCTCAGGTCATGATCCTGGAGTCCCGGGATGGAGTCCCCCAACGGGCTCCCTGCTCGGCGGGGGGTCTGCTTCTCCCTCTGACCCTCCCCCCTCTCATGCTCTATCTCATTCTCTCTCTCAAATAAATAAATAAAATATTTTTTAAAAAACACTTAAAAAATAAATAAACCAAAGCATTTATTTAAAACAAAAATTGTAATAAATGTTCCACATTCACCTAAGATGTTACTAATAGGGGAAACTGTGTGCCAGGGAAGGGGGTATATGGGAACTCTCTGTACTATCTGCTTAATTTTCTGAAAACCCAAAACCATTCTGTAATATACCGTCTATGAATTCCAAAATTTTGTACTTGCAGGAAGTGTGATGTGGTGGACAGAATATTGGACCAGGTGACAGGGAACCCTGACAGATTATCACTGATTAGCCTAAGTGGTCCCGGGCAAGCCCCTTGCCCACTGAGCCTGAGTTTTCTCTTCCTGAAAGGGCAGCTCAGTCAGTTAAGTGTCTGCCTTCGAGGGGCTTGGGATCTAGCCAGTCGTTGGTTGGGCTCCCTGCTGGGGAGGGGGGTGTCTGCTTTTCCCTCTCCCTCTGCCCCTCCTGCTAATGCTGTCTCTCTCTCAAATTAATAAATAAAATTTAAAAAAAATTTTTTTAAGGAGGACATTGGGCTGTATTATCTATGAAATAATCCTATGAAAAGCCTGGACTTTAACAACATTTCAGAAGGATAAAAGAGTGACAGTCTGGGTGTCTCAGGAAACAGCCCTATGAATAAAGTTCAGGGGATGTGCACCGCCACTGGTTTAGTTCCTAGAACCCCCAGAAGGTATAGAAAATGCCAAATCTCCCGCCCTGGGTCACCTTGATCGGCCAATTCAAATCTCCTCCAAATACTACGCGGGAGGCGACAGCAACCGAAACACTAAACTACCTCTGGTCCCTACCAGCTGGCGGGGGTTTCTTCCCTCCTTGGCTCAGCCTAGAAACTCATATTTTATTCATGAAAATTTGAGGCCCTGGGAGGCCTCCGCGTAAACAGGATGTAAATATTTGCGGGTGGTGGGGGAGAGGTGGTATTTGAGCAGGGGCTGTCCTAAGCGGGGGACCTCCGGGGCGCTGCTTACTTGGGACCCGCCCACCTCTATCTCCCCTATAGGTTGGGTGTGGGGGGCATGTGCAGGCTGTACCCCTGATTGGAGACCGAGTTTGGGACTCCAGTACCCTCCAAGTGAGACGGGGTGTGCCTTACCCTTCTGATGCCCCCCCCACACACACACACCATCTCCCTAATCAGCGTTCCTTCATCCCGCCTTTCTCAGTTTGAGGCTTAGGACTGGCTTTCTGGCACTTGCAGGGGTGCGTGGCCCCCTCTCCAGCCCCTCACCTGCCCTACCTGCACCTGGACACCCTTTGTCTCAGCTGTGTGGGGTTCTGGCCACCCCCCGGGCTGTACCTTTGCTATCACTGGTTGCTCATCCTGCAGTGAACTTACCTCTTTGAGCTTTGACTTGTCTTGGAGACCCCCTCCCCGTGTTTGCACGGACTACACCCTTTTCTGGAACCTGGGGCCGCCCCACCTCTTGAGCTCCTGCTCCGTTCTCAGGGCCTGGCCCTGGGCATCACTTCCTCCAAGAAACTGTCCCTGATGCTTCTCCTCCAGGCCTGGGCTCAGAGTGGCTCTCCTCCACCCAAGGCATCTGCCCTGCTGAGCTGAAGCCCTTCCTCATCTGCATCCCACACTCAGATAGGCCCCTGACTTTCGTCCTGTTCGCTAAATAAATACCTGTTGAATAGATGAACGGGTGCATGGATGGGTGGATGGATAAAGGCATGGGCCCATTACCACCTGTGTCTCTGGCCATTTGTCTCTTGCTGGAGTCCCCCACCCCCACGCCACCCCACAGCCTGTGCGCTACATCCCCGCACCTAGGACACTTCCTGGGGCATAATAAGCCTCAGTCTTGGCGGAATCTTGCAAGGGTATCGAGGATTGCCAAAGTTACACCCTGCATGCCACCACCTTTGGTAGGAGGCAAACATTTCAATCTGGGTGACGCACCTTCTTGGAATTGACGCCCTCGAGGCTTCCCCGGAAGAATGTAGTGGGCACGCTCGGGCTAGGCTTCCCTTCGAATGTTCGCGATGCCTTCTTCAGATAGTGAGACCCATGCCTAGCTATCTCTGAGATTCGGGAAAACAAAATACACCCCCAAATTGGACCCAAGAGGAGCACCCTGTTTGCAGTGGAGGTGGTATTGAAATGGTGGGCGTGACCAATGTCCTGGGGAGATTGGTACAGAAAGAAAGGTCAGACTGCCTAGGTGAGGTTTTAAAAATGCAGCGAGTCAACCCCTAATTGATCCTGTGTGGACATGTAGTTTTTCTCAATTATAGGGCTTCTTAGCTTAAAGTGGGCTCCCTGATCTAGCTGTCCAAATGTTCCATGCCGCAGAGAAGCCAATAGGAAGCAAAAGAAAGAAAGAAAAAGTCCCACAGAGCAGCCTGAAGGGCCTGGGCTGGCACTCACGTTTCTGCCGGGAGAGTCCCCACACCCCCAGTCACACTGCGGTCCCTGCGTCTATCCTTTTATCCGGGTCTTAGGGCAGAGGTTCATTCCTGCTGCGTGCCAGGCCCCCAGACCTACATCAGAACCTCTGTGGTGGCCCCCCAGCCTCAGCATTTGTGTTAAACCCTCTGGGTGATTCTGTGCAGCCAGGCTTGAGAACCCTTGACCACTGCTTCCTGAGACCGCATTTGTGTCCTGCTCCCAGCTCATACCCATGTCGTTCTGCCGCACCTGACGTAGCAAGACTTTAGAACAGTTTTTACTTCCGGGGCGAGCCCAGCTGGCTTAGTCAGTGGAACGTGGGACTCTTGATCTCAGGGTTGTGAGTTCGAGCCCCATGTTGGGCGTAGAGACGACTTAAAAATAAAATCTGAGGGGCACCTGGGTGGCTCCGTCGGTAAGCGTCTGCCTTTGGCTCAGGTCATGATCCCAGGGTCCTGGGATCGAGCCCCGCGTCGGGCTCCCTGCTCCGCGGGGAGTCTGCTTCTCCCTCTTCCTGTGCCCCTCCCCCCGGTCACACTCCCTATCTCTTTCTCAAATCAATAAAATAAAATAAAATAAAATAAAATCTTTAAAATAAAATAAAATAAAATAAAAAACTTAAAAAGAAAGTGACAAGGGGCACCTGGGTGGCTCAGTCGTTAAGCGTCTGCCTTCAGCTCAGGTCATGATCCCGGGGTCCTGGGATCGAGCCCCACATCGGGCTCCCTACTCTGCAGGAAGCCTACTTCTCCCTCTCCCGCTCCCCCTGCTTGTGTTCCCTCTCTCGCTGTCTCTCTCTCTCTCTCTGTCAAATAAAATCTTAAAAAAAAAAAAAAAAGTGACAAAGCAGTAATGATCTACATATACATGTAATATGTTACATATACTATGTATGTTACAGGCAATGTGCATATGTGTATATAGATTTGTACACCACATTGACAATCAAGCAGAAATATGCACTCCTGGGGAGCTTGGCTGGCTCCATTGGCGGAGCGTGCAATTCTTGATCTTGGGGTTGTGAGTTCGAGCCCCACGATGGGCGCAGAGGTGACTTAAAAATAATAAAAAATCTTTTTTTTTTTAATTTTTAAAAAATTATTTATTTATTTATTTGACAGAGAGATAGCGAGAGCAGGAACACAAGCAGGGGGAGTGGGAGAGGGAGAAGCAGGCTTCCCGTGGAGCAGGGAGCCCGATGTGGGGCTCGATCCCAGGACCCTAGGATCATGACCTGAGCCGAAGGCAGACGCTTAACGACTGAGCCACCCAGGCGCCCAAAAATAATAAAAAATCTTAAAAAATTGAAATCGGCACTCCTATCTCGCACCAGCCACTGCCAGAGGGAAAACTGGACAGAACTGGAATGAGCTGGGTGCTCTGGTCCCCCCGTCCCTCAGAGATGAAGAAACAGCCACAGGAAGGCCAGGGTGGACATGCTGACCGAGAACAGGAAAAAGGGCCAGCTTGGATGAATAAACAACTGGAACAAAATTAGAAGTAAGGAATCCAGACAGCCTAGCGGTCCAGGCTCCACAGTGTGGGGCCAACAGTCCATTGGTGCTGCTCGTAGCCCGGGGATCAAGCCCACATCGCAGCACACAGATCCTACGGCCCCAAAGCGCTAGGAAAAATTCTGTACCTTTTGTTTTTCCCCAAGAAGGCAAGGAAGGGTGTGGAAGCGGCTTTCAAAGTTTCCCAATTGTTAAAATTTAACAAAACAGTTAAAACAAAAAACTTTGCATACAGAAGGCCCTTAACCAGAACGTGTACTTCCATAGAACAACCTGTCCTCTGAGGTGTTATTAGAGCATTGCTATTCCAAATTTGCTTACAGCAGGCAGGCTCTCCTTGAAATCACCAGGCTTATGCACCCTAAAATGCCACCTTGGGAGGAAAAGTCAAGGTCTTTTTTTTTTAAAGATTTTATTTATTTGACAGAGAGAGACACAGCGAGAGAGGGAACACAAGCAGGGGGAGTGGGAGAGGGAGAAGCAGGCTTCCCGTGGAGCAGGGAGCCTGATGCGGGGCTTGATGCGGGGCTCGATGCGGGGCTCGATCCCAGGACCCTGGGACCATGACCTGAACCGAAGGCAGATGCTTAACCATCTGAGCCACCCAGGCACCCCAAGTCAAGGTCTTTTAAAAGATGCATGTCAGGGGCACCTGGGTGGCTCAGATGGTTAAGTGTCTGCCTTCGGTTCAGGTCATGATCTCAGGGTCCTGGGATCAAGCCCCACATCGGGCTCCCTGCTTGGTGGGGAGCCTGTTTCTCCCTCTCCCTCTACTGTTTGTTTTTTTTTTTTTTAAAGATTTTATTTATTTATTTGACAGAGAGACACAGCGAGAGAAGGAACACAAGCAGGGGGAGTGGGAGAGGGAGAAGCAGGCTCCCCGCAGAGCAGGGAGCCCGATGCAGGACTCGATCCCAGGACCCCGGGATCATGACCTGAGCTGAAGGCAGTCGCTTAACCAACTGAGCCACCCAGGCGCCCCTCTCCCTCTACTGTTAACCCCTGCTCGTGCTCTCTCGCGCTCTCTGTCAAATAAATAAAAAATGTTAAAAAAAAAAAAAAGATGCATCTCAGGGTCAGGTATAGATATCTGCCCCCGCCCCTCAAAGTCCAGGGGATCAGACTGGAGCTTTCCTGCTGAGGGGTGTAAACATTTAAAAATCAAGAGTCCTGGGATGCCTGGGTGGCTCAGATGGTTAAGCGTCTGCCTTCGGCTCAGGTCATGATCCCAGGGTTGTGAGATCGAGCCCCATATCGGGCTCCTGGCTCAGCAGAGAGCCTGCTTCTCCCTCTCCCTCTGCCTCTCCCCCTGCTCATGCTCTCTCTCTATCTCTGTGTCTCAAATGAATAAATAAAATCTTTGAAAAAAAAAATCAAGAGTCCTCTCTGGACACGTTTGCTCAGGTGTGGCGGATTTCCTTTGAAGACCTAGCTCACAGGGCATCTCCCTGGGGGGCCTGGGCCATCCCATCAGGTCTCCAGGTGTCGCCTGCAGCTTGGGGGAACCTGTACACCTGCCAGGATGCTCGGACCATGAAGCTCCCGTCAAACTCACTTTGCATGAGCTGCTGTGGTCAGAAGAGTGCTCACACGGGGCTGGTCCCTTGTGGACTTTCCACACGAGAGTCGCATCCTGGCTCCACAGTGAGGACTGTCATTGTCAAAGGGGCTGCCTTCTCTGGGATGCCTGTGGAGAGAGGCCAGCCAGAGGTTACCCTGTGACCTTGTTAACCAGAATGACAGGAGCAAGTCACACACTCAGTGACACACACCAGACTTGGGGGGAGACTCCAGGAGAGGCAGAGACGGGCACAGAGGGAGGGCCTTTCAGGTAGTAGGTGGGCCTCCTCTGTGGCCTCCTTCATGGACAGAGTGACCTTAACCAAGGCCCCCAGGAAGCTCCTGGAGAGGCCAAGATGTCCTCAGAGGGGCAGAATGGGAGCAGCTGCTCAGACACAGTGAGGAGCACTTTGGGTCAGACCACCGGGCTGGATCCAGGCTCCATCTCCCACTCACCAAAAGACCTGGGGTGCCAGGTGCCTCAGTTTCCCCGTTTGTAATGGGAAGGACAGTAGCCTCAGAGAGGGTTGTATGGAGTCAGCGTAACGTCCTTTACTCAGGCCAATTGCTAGTTACTATTACTGAACCTCAGTGGGGCCTGAAGACTGTCACCGGCCCCACACACACTGCGGGGACTGCAGGGACAGCAGGCGGAGAGACGGCTGTCCAAGGTGGAAGGAGCAAGGCCAAGTGGGGAGCTGGGACGCTTAAGTGGCCATTTGTGGCCCAGGCTCACAGCATCTCAGCAGCCCGGGATTTTCTCATCTGTAATAACAATAGTAATTGACCATGGAGTAGCACTTAACTTTTTATTCTTTTTTTTTTTTTGACAGAGAGAGACACAGCGAGAGAGGGAACACAAGCAGGGGGAGTGGGAGAGGGAGAAGCAGGCTTCCCTGCTGAGCAAGGAGCCCAATGTGGGGCTCGATCCCAGGACCCTGGGATCATGACCTGAGCCGAAGGCAGACGCTAAACAGCTGAGCCACCCAGGCGCCCCTACTTTTTATTCTTCTTTTAAAGATTTTTTATTTATTTGGAAGAAGAAAGAACATGAACGGGAAGAGGGGCAGAGGGAGAGGGACAAGCAGGCCCCCCATTGAGCAGGGAGCCTGACAGACACAGGGCTCGATCCCAGGACCCCGAAATCATGACCTGAGCCAAAGGCAGACGCTTAACCTACTGAACCACCCAGGCATCCCTACATGTATTTATTTATTTATATTATTATTATTAAGTAATCTCAACACCCAACATGGGGCTTGAACTCACAACCCTGAGATCAAGAGTTGCATGCCCTTCTGATGGAGCCAGCCAGGTGCCCCTTGATATTTTTAAAGGTCTTTTTAGATACAGTATAATTAAAATCTCTTAAACATTTTAAACTACATTTATAAATTTAATATGTTTGATTTCCTTTAAGTATCTCAGTTTTCTGACAAACCTAAGTTCTTTTTTTTTTTTTTTTAAGATTTTATTTATTTATTTGACAGAGAGAGAGATAACGAGAGCAGGAACACAAACAGAGGGAGTGGAAGAGGGAGAAGCAGGCTTCCCGCCGAGCAGGGAGCCCGACGTGGGACTCGATCCCAGGACCCTGGGATCATGACCTGAGCCGAAGGCAGACGCTTAACGACTGAGCCACCCAGGCACCCCCAAACCTAAGTTCTTAAATGTATCTTAGAAATCTATTAAACTTATATGTTGAATCTCAAGTTCCCTTAAATATTCTAATACTGTGCTTGCTTCGGCAGCACATATACTAAATATTCTAATACCATTTATAAGTTTAGTAAGATTTTAACCTAAAATCACAAGTTTAACTTAATTCAATTTTACATTTTATTTTTAAAGATTTTATTTACTCGAGGGAGAGAGAGAGGGCACACACGTGAGCGTATTGGGGGGTGGGGAGGAGCAGAGGGAGAGGGACAAGCAGACTCCATGATGAGCAGGGAGCATGATTCGAGGCTCCATCCCATGACCCTCAGACCTCGACCTAAGCTAAAACCAAGAGTCAGGCGCTTAACCAACTGAGCCACCCAGGTACCCCTCAATTTTCCATTTTAAATGATAATCATAAAGTTCCCTTGGTAGACACTAGTATGCCAAGTTCTCTTAAGCATTTCAAATCCTTAAAATACCAAATATGTAATGATTATACATGAGTGCTACGGAAAAAGACTAATGTAAAATTTTGACTTACCTCATCATGTCTGTATTTCTGAAACTCCCTGGGATTATTCATTTATTCAAAAAACATTTATCAGGCGCCTGGGTGGCTCAGTTGTTGAGCATCTGCCTTCGGCTCAGGTTATGATCCCAGGGTCCTGGGATCGAGCCCCGCATCGGGCTCCCTGCTCCGCGGGGAGCCTGCTTCTCCCTCTGCCTCTCCCCCTGCTTGTGTTCTCTCTCTGGCTGTGTCTTTCTGTCAAATAAATAAATAAAATCTTAAAAAAAATATTTATCAATGACAGCTGAAACTAAAGGAACATTGTGCATCAACTATACTCAAAAAAAAAAAAAAGGAAAGAAAACTTATTATTGCCAAAAATTATCTATCATCTATCTATCTATCTATCTATCTATCTATCTATCTATCTATCTATCTATCATCTCAAAGTCTGCTAAATGCCTGGCATTGTTCAAGACACTGACAATAGCAGTGGCTAATATGGAGAAAACCCTTGCCATCATGAAACATACTCTAATGGGGGATGCAATACACAAAACATATTTGATACATATTTATCAACTAGAGTTATATGTTATAGAAGAAAAAGGAGAGCAGGGTAGGGAAAGGGACTGGTGGGAAGAAGGGAACAGGGAAGCCTCAATGAATAGATAACATGGAGAAGAGACCAGAATGAGGCAAGGGAGTAAGCCATATGCACATCTGAGGGAAGAGCATTCTAGGCCAAGGGAATAGCAAGTGCAAAGGTCCTGAGGTAGGGATGTGCTAGGCCCTTCTCATTTACAGCAAGGAGGCCCTTGTGCCTGGAATAGTGTATGAGGGCAAGGGTGGTAGAAAGGAAGGTCAGGGAGATGGCCTTGTGGAGGTAAAACATATAAGGCCCTGTAGGGTTTGGGTTTTTCCCTCTACCTTGACCCTGATTATTCTGTGAGGATTTGTCTGGAGATCTACATCGTAAGGTCATTCTAATGACCCTTATTAAATTGCTCTTGCTTGGGACCCAGCAATTCCATTTCTATCTATGCTGCTAGAGAAATTATCTCAGAAACACAATGGAGGGACACCTGGGTGCCTCAGTCTGTTAAGTGTCTGAGTCTTGATTTCTGCTCAGGTCATGATCTCAGGGTTGTGAGCCTGCTTAAGATTCTCTCTCTCCCTCTTCCTCTGCCCTTCCCCACCCCTGCCTGCTTGCGTGCACTCTAAAAAAAAAAAAAAAAAAAAAAAAGTACAAAGCATATAAAACATACAGGCTCGGGGCTCAGACCTAGTATAGATCCAGACTCCCCGCTACTCGCCAAAAGACCTTGAGGACAAAGTTTGACCTCTCTGCCTCGGGTTCCTCTTCTATAAAGTGGGGGTAGAAGAGAGAAAAGGAAAGAATGGGGCAGAGAACTTTAGCAGTATCCATAATGTTTTCTTTTTAAAAAAGAGGCAAAATTTTAACATCTGTCTTGGTGGATGAGTACATGAATGTTGATATTATTTTCAGTGTTTCATATGTCTTGTAATTTTAGAGATTAAAAGATCACAAAACAAAGCCTTCGACACACTTTTCTTTCCTTTTTTATTAAGTTTTTAGTTTTAATTCCAATGTAGTGAACACAGTGTTATATTAGTTTCAGGTAAACAACATTGATTCAACAATTCTGTACATTACTCAGTGCTCATCATGATAAGCGACTCACACTTTTCCCTACAAGCACCCTTACCTCCCTCCACGCCACTTACCACATGGCAACCGGAGACCTGAAACATAAACTAGGCCTTGTTGGGGCGCTTGCGTGGCTCAGTTGGTTGAGCACTCGACTCTTGGTTTCGGCTCAGGTCATGATCTCAGGGTCCTGGAATTGAGGTCCGTGTTGGGCTCCATGCTCAGCAGGGAGTCTGCTTGAGGCATCTCTCTCTCTCTCCCTCTGCCCTTCCCCCTGCTCGCATTCTCTTTCTCGCTCTCTAAAATAAATAAATCTTTAAACAAAAGAAAAACTGGGCCTTGTTGCTTTTACCTATATCCTGCAGTCTGCTTCCTTTCCAACCCCACAGGCCTCCTTCCTTTCCAACCCTGATTCGCACTCACCCTGGATCCTCCAGCCACTGTGTGCTCATCATGTTTGTCAGGCCTTGTCAGGCCACAGGGATGCAGGCGTGACCAGGATGGAGGGCGCTCCTGTTCTTTTTTTTTTTTCTTTTAAAGATTTTATTTATTTATTTGAGAGAGAGAGAGAGAGTGAGAGAGCACGTGCAAGAGGGGGTAGGGTTAGAGGGAGAAGCAGACTCCCCACCGAGCAGGGAGCCCGATGTGGGACTCGATCCCGGGACTCTGGGATCATGACCTGAGCCGAAGGCAGTCACTTAACCAATTGAGCCACCCAGGTGCCCGAGGGAGCTCCTGTTCTCAAAGAGCTGCTATTCTGGGGGGAAACAAACAATAAGCAAGGCAATAAATCCAGATAGTTGTGAGTAAGGACAATACAGAAATAAACAGGTTCTTGAGGGAGAGAGAGCAATGGAAGACAGGGAGGGCATTGGGGGGGGCACCTTCCAGGCAAAGCCAACGGGCACCCAGCTCTCAGATTCAGGTTCAGATCTCAGGTCAAATGCTCCCTCCCCAGCAAAGCCCTTCCCGACCTCTCAGGTGGGATGGTACCTTATCAATGCTATCCTAACAGGCATTCATTCTAACACTTAACCATGGTTATAATTAAATATATGACTGGCTGCTTGGTGTCTGTTTGCCTCCCTACAATTTAAGCTCCTTGAGGGTGGAAGCTTGCCCTGTCCATGCATCCCGTGCCCATCACGGTGGTTGCAGGCACTCAGTCAATATTTGTTAAAGATGGAAACCCACAGTCAGGCTCTATGATTTCTACCAGATTCCAAATTCCGCAAATGTAATCAGCAATTCCTGAGGACAAATGTTACCCAAATAACAAATCCTTATACTGTAGGTATGTTTTCGGATACATGCTTTTTCACTACATAATAAGCCTTTTAATATTGAAAATGTTAATGAGAATGTCAGAAAAATTCTAAGGGTGATGGAACATGGCAGCGTCTGAGAGCAAACAATTATTTCAGTGGTAGTATCACCACTTAAAAAAAAAAAAACAGCTATAATTCATCAAGAAACCCACTGGAAAACAACACATGAATTTTTAAAACTTCAGTGTAAGCAGGGCAAACAGCAGCAAGTAGGTTTGCTATTCCGGGCCAGTGGAGGCTACCAGTGGGTGGAAAGCAGGTGTCTCTGGTACTCCTCGTCTCCAGAGGCCACCCCATTTTCAACTCCACAACCTGCACTGTGACTTGAGAAATGGGCTGCACTCTAGTGGTCAAAGTCAAGGTGTCATTCTAACCAAGATTTGTTCCCTGTCCCATCTGATAATTTGATGGGAATGCTCTGGCTTTTGGTAAAAGACTTTTTTTTTTTTAAGAGAGGGAGAGAGAGCAGGGAGAGGGGCAGAGGGAATCTCAAGCAGATTCGATGGTCAGCACGGAGCCCGACACAGACATCAATCTCACGACCCTGAGATCATGACCTGAGCTGAAATCAAGAGTCAGAGGCTTAACTGAGTTAGCTACCCAGGTGCCCCAAGGATTTTTAAGATTGATTGATTGATTGATTGATTGATTTATATGATAGTGAGAGAGAGAGAGAGCACAAGCAGGGGGAGCAGCAGACAGAGGGAGAAAAAGGCTCCCAGCTGAGCAGGGAACTCGACATGGGGCTCAATCCCATGACCCCGGGATCATGACCCGAGCCAAAGGCAGATGCTTAATGACTGAGCCACCCAGGCATCCCAAGGATTTTGTTTTCTGTTTTGTCTCCTTTCCATGTCCTTCCTCTTTTGTATAACTAATTGCCCTCGTGAGGTGAGAGTCAGGGGGCTTAGCCTAGGTGCAGATTCCACTTCCTGGGATTTCGCAGATTTGTTAGGAGAGAAGAGGAGGAATTCACTTTGGGTTGTCCTTGACGTTTCCTTTGGTTTGTTCCTTGTTCCTGTGGTTTCCCCAACATACCTGGGGGTCCCCCAATGTGGCTGTTGTGTGGCTCTATAGGAATGGCTGGAGTTTTTAAGCTCTGAGCTCTCTCTGGGACCAACTCAAACAAGGCACAGAAGGCACAGTATAAAAAAGCCCTGTTATTAAAAAAAAAAAAAAAAACCAGACAAGCCCTGTTATGCAGTTCTGCCCCAAAGGTCACCTCCTTCTCTGATTCTCCTGGCATTCCAAGTGCATCAGTGAACACAGAGTCCTGGGTGCACCAACAAGCCTCCTGTAGAATGGGATTTTGGGAAAAGAACCACAAAAGGGTTAAGAATTACATACTGGGTGCCTGGGTGGCTCAGATGGTTAAGCGTCTGCCTTCGGCTCAGGTCATGATCCCAGGGTCCTGGGATCGAGTCCCACATCGGGCTCCCGGCTCAGCGGGGAGCCTGCTTCTCCCTCTGACCCTCTCCCCTCTCATGCTGTTTCTCTCTCGCTCGCTCTCTAAAAAATAAATAAATAAAATCTTAAAAAATAATAATAATAATTATATACTGTTTTCTGTATTTATTGAAAATATTTTGTTTTTAAGCTGTGTATGTGGTGGAAGGGGGTGTGTGTATGTGATAGCCGACTATAAGGAAAATATTAATATTGCCACATGGAAAACATTCCAAGGGAAAACCAAGAAAAAGACATTTCCAGAAGAGTTTATGTTTCAAGAAAATTTACATCTTCTCCTCCAGAGAAATAAAGGATCTGTGAACAGTGATTTTCGAAACATGCAAGACAGCTCTTTTAGTTCAAAGGAAAAGGGAAGGAGAGTCAACTTCAAGCATCCCCCCGCCCCCAAATCATACAAAAGGGGAAAAGAAAACCACTGAGTAACTTCTGAACCTGGAGACTTTAGGAACTACCACCAGGAGAACAAACTGCTTCAGAATTTGAGTCATTTGTGGTTCCTGCTCAACTGGCAGTAAGTTAAACAGAATGAGAAATCAAGTGTTCCCGTCCAGTTCACAGAAGACAATTGTAAATTGTGCCCACTGCTTCGCGCTCACTAGCCTGGCTGCAGAACTGGGATGAGCACTTGGCAGACACGAACCCCGCGTCTAAAGTGTGCAAGGGAAGGAACCAGGCATTAGGCGGCAGGCACCTCGTTCTCAAGGAGCTGACCACTCAGGTTGGGAAGATGACGCACAGTCCTTACACAAGAAAAATGAATATAACAGCAATACCGTCTTCCCCAGTAAATACCCGTAACTGGGGAAAGAAAACTGAAAGGTAAGGATAAAAAAAACGGAACACGATCACTTGCGATATAGATTTTGGAGCCCATGTTTACCTGAATGAGTGACCAATCAATCGCCTGGAAGACGAGGTCTTCAACCTAAAATACATAGAGAATTTAACTGGTGATGGAAGGAAAAGAGCCAATGGGGTTCTGAAACGTCCTCTGGTGAAAGCAACCCAGTTCCTCACAGCGGACCCAAACTGTTCTGGAAACATGGATCCTCACTGTTCATTAAAGACACTCAACTGGAGGGGCGCCTGGGTGGCTCAGTTGGTTAAGCATCTCTTATTTTTTTTAAAGATTTTATTTATCTATTGGAGAGAGAGCGCACAAGCAGGGGGGAGGGGCAGAGGGAGAGGGAGAAACAGACTCCCTGCTCGATCCCAGGACCTCAGGATCACCATCTGAGCCAAAGGCAGAGGCTTTAACTGACTGAGCCACCCAGGAGCCCAAGACGTCTGACTCTTGTTCTCAGCTCAGGTCTTGATCTCAGGGTCATGAGTTCAAGCCCCGCACTGGGCTCCACACTGGGTGTGGAGCCTACGTTAAAAAAATAAATAAAATAGGGCGCCTGGGTGGCTCAGTTGGTTAAGCGACTGCCTTCGGCTCAGGTCATGATCCTGGAGTCCCGGGATCGAGTCCCGCATCGGGCTCCCTGCTCAGCAGGGAGTCTGCTTCTCCCTCTGACTCTCCCCCTCTCATGCTCTCTCTCTCTCATTCTCTCTCTCAAATAAATAAATAAAATCTTAAAAAAAAAAAAAAAAAAAGACACTCAACTGGAGTATTTACAGCGCCCCAGGCCTTGTGCTAAGCAATAAGGACAGAGACTAACGGGTCCCAATTCTTACCTTCGATTTGGACATGAAAGCCAGTTTTTAACCCGAAATTATGATGCAATACGGGAAGTGCAATACGGCAGAATTTGATACGAATTGCTTTGGCAGCCTGGTGGGGAATGAATCCTGGCTCCACCACTTACAGCCTAAATGACATTGGACAAATGATTCCGTCATTCTCAAGGCTGTTTCTGCGGATAATCATGAGTATCTGCCTCAGGTCTCGTGCACAGTAAATGACAGTCATGGCTTATTACTTTTATTCATTATTCACCATTATTACGACGTTTGGGCTATGCGAGGAAAGCTTAGCTCAATAGGGAGAAAACGAGCCCAAAACAATGCTCAAGGCACTTGTCAATATGGAGTACCTATCTTTCTGGAACGAAGCCGAGTCACATCTTCCAGAGGGACAGTAGCCTCCTCTGCCAAACCGGAGTAATCCCCACTGTACAGCATCCGGAGAACTTCCGGACCGCAAGCACCAAGTTCCAGGGCGTAGGAGGTGCCCACCCCACGGGAGCCGGCGTTGCCACCCGGACACCTGAGCGATCCGGACAACTGGGCACGGTCAGGGCCTAGATGTCACCGCCCAGACGCCAGTCCCTGTCCGAGTCCGCCGTCGGTCCCGCTCCAAACCGCCCCCAGAGCCGCCCGCGCGCCGCCGCCGCCGCTCCAGACCCGCCGCGCCGAGAGGGCTTCCCACACAAATCACACAAAGACGAAAACCGTCCAGCGTCCCTTCCTGGAGCGACCTGCCTTCTCGGAAGTCGACGCGGTCGGGCCTCGCTTTCCTCTCGCTGGCCCGGCTGGACGCCAGGCCTTCCCCGACAACCTGCGTTTCCCCCAAGCCCTGGCCAGGTCGGTGCCTTCTGCGCAGGCGCGAAAGGGGGCTGGCCCACCGCTTCCGCTTACGGCCGGCGTCCCCCGGGTGCTAGGGGCGGGCTCTGCGTGATGGCGTCACGGGGCGGGGCCTCCGGCGCGGGAAGAGGCGGCGGGAGAATGGAGGTGCGGGAGAGCGGTGGTGGCGCCGGCGAGCGCGGGGCCCAGGAGCCTGCCCCCGCCTCCAGCAAGGTCTCGGGCAGCGCCGGCCACTACGAGCTGCCGTGGTGAGGGCCCAGGCCATGAATGATGGGTGCTCTGGACGTGTGGGTGGGCGAGTTGGCGGGCCGTGGCCCGGGAGACCCTAGGGGCGGGAGCTCGTTCTAGGGGGTCCTTAGCGGAGCAGGAAGCCTCGGGGTGGCATCGAGTAGATTAGTATTTGGAGAGGGCGAGGGACGCGCGTCGTTGACCACCCCCCTCCTGGGGTCAAGAGTGGCAGGTCTGAACTCTGGAAGCGGGATCATGGTCAGAACAGTGCTAATTCTGATCACAGCTGCCCCCTGTGACCACCAACTCGGCTCCTGGCGCTGTGCCTGGGGCTGCTCTGATGGCGGGAAGCGTCGGATGCAGGTTCGGAACTCGGGGTTGTGCGCAGAAGGCGCATCCTGGGTAGCTGAGAGGAGCTGGTGACATGGAAGGTCACCTGCCGCGGGCACAGGTGTGGTGTGGGCGATCCGCTCTGGTCCCTCTGCGCGCGGTTATGGTTTACTCTCCGTCCTCGTGCATGCCCATCCCTCCAGCCCACCCCTCTCCTGAGCAGATACCTAAATGGAGCGCAGTACAGCTTACTGGCACATCCACAGCAGCCCTGGTCAGTCCCCCAGCTACTAGCCCCTTGAGTCCATTGACAGCCCTGGAAATGAGGCTGGTCCCAATTGAGATGGGCTGTAAGTGTACAAAATACACCGGATTTCCAGGACTTAGTATATATAAAAAAACCTCATTCGTAATTGTTATATTGATGACATGTTGAAAATGATAATATTAGGTTCAATAAATTCTTAGGAAAATTAACTTTCACCTATTTTCTTTTTACTTTTTTTTTAAACATTTTTACTCATTTGTTTGAGAGAGAGAAAGCATGTGCGCACAAACAGGGTGGGGGGTGCTCAATCCCAGGATCCTGAGATTATGACCTGAGCCGAAGGCAGACGCCTAACGGACTGACCCACCCAGGCGCCCCTCTTTTTACATTTTAATGTGGCCACCAGCAAGTGTAAAATTACGTATGTGGTTTGCGTTACATTTTTTATGTATGACACTACTTTGAATGCTTAGGATATTTTATTATACAAAACACACTCTGGTGTCATGAGCTTCCATTTGATAGGGAAAGACTAAAGAACAAACCAGGAGATAAGTAGTATATTTGATGATGACAGGTGGCATCGGGTAAATGACTCTGGTGGTCAGGGAAGGCCTTTGATGAGATGATATTTCAACAAAGACGGCAACTCAGGGAGTGAGCCAAGTGGCAATGTGGAGAAAGCTTTCAGGCAGGGGGAGCCCCTATGGAGGCCCTGGAGGAGGAGCATGTTTGCCATGTTCAAAGTCTAGCTCAGATTTCAGTGCCTGACATTCCTAGGTGCTGATTCCACAGCCCTTGGTTTATATAACCAGTTTAGCACTGTAGGAGGATTTGCTAAGCTCTCTGTGCTTGCTGATAGGGAAGGCCTTTAGAACAAGAACCATGTCTTGCTCCTTTCTGTACCTTCCACTTTCCTCCCCCTAAGATCTCAAACTCCTTATACAGTGCTCGGCACCTGGAAAGGACTAAGTATGAACAAGAAATGAGTAGCAACAAGCATGCTCCATCTGCTGGTCTTGGAGGAGAATTCTATTTACTGTAGGATGTGGCAAACAAGCTTCTTTGCATGTAGCTGCTTCTGGAGCAGAACCAGGCCCTGTAGAGAGTGCAAGCTGAGGGTAACTCAGAGAGTATAATAAAGGGCAGAGGAAGTGCTGATTGCAAATCTACTGCCACTTCTGTTTTCAGCTAAAGAAAGTCATTTGCTCACAGCATCGCTTGCTTTTATTCGTTTAAAAAGAGAAGTATTGGGGCGCCTGGGTGGCCCAGTCGATTGAGCATCTGACTCATGGTTTTGGCTCAGGTCGTGATGTCAGGGTCATGGCAGCGGGCTCCGAGTTGGGCTGTGCGCTCAGCGGGGAGTCTGCTCGAAGGTTCTCTCCCTCTGAGAGAGAGAAGTATTCATCTGAGTAAGCCACTAGCCTGTCCACACTTCCCATAGCCTCATAGGATCACAGGGCAGGCCTGTGGTTTCTGTCTAGCCAGCCCTGCAGTGCACCTGCCATCAGTCACAGAAACTGGCAGGTAAGGGACAAGAAGGGGGCTCGGTTGCACTCGTGTCTGTCAGATCAGACGTCAGTGCTTCGTGTGCTGAGCTTCTGTTGTGACGGGCAAACCGTGCGGCCGCCCAGCGGCACAGCGCTCCAGATGGCCCGCTCTGGCCCCTCTCCAGCAAAAACAGGTGCATCTCGGCTGTGGCCGGTTTAAAGCCCTCGGTGTACAGTTCTTAAGCACTTAACTTTTCAAATGGCCCTTGGGTTACCTCTTCGAATTTAAAACCTGCAACATTTACTATATTTAAATTGCCTGTGTATAATTTTCTGACAGCTCTCGGGATTGCCCTTTAGGGCTTGCTCTTGGGAGCGTGACAATAGTTACGTCACCATCTTTATGCGTTTTCTTAAAAACAGGGTTGAAAAATATAGGCCAGTAAAGTTGAATGAAATTGTCGGGAATGAAGACACGGTGAGCAGGCTGGAGGTGAGTGATTTTTTTTTTTTTTTAATATTTTATTTATTTATGACAGAGAGAGAGTACAAGCAGGGGGAGCAGCAGGCAGAGGGAGGGGGAGAAGCAGGCTCTCCGCTGAGCAGGGAGCCTGACGCGGGGCTCGATGCCAGGATCCTGGGATCATGGCCTGAGCCGAAGGCAGACGCTTAACTGACTGAGCCACCGAGGCACCCCTGATTTTTTTTTTTTTCTAAGAGATGATCCTACGTCACATTATGTGGTTTTGACAAGCTCGAGGGAGGCATTTGGAGGAAGCCGGCCAAGATAGTGAGGGGTGGAGTGAGCCATGAATTCCGAAGAATTGAGGGATTGAGAGCCAGTCAGTTTGGAGAAGACTAGAAACTGTAGTGGTTAACTTCGCATGTTTGAGGCACTGGCTTATTGGAGAAGGGTTCTCTGACCTATGATTCTAGAGCTGGGATGGCAAACCTTTTCTGTAAAGGCCGACTAGTAGATACCTTAGGCTTTGTAAACTGTATAATGTCTTTGTCCAATATTCTTAATTTTTTAAACAATCCTTTAGAATCATAAAAATCATTCTTAGCTAGGGGGCTTATAAAAACAGGCCCCAAGGCGCCTGGGTGGCACAGTCCGCTGAACATCCGACTCTCGGTTTCCGCTCAGATCATGATCTCAGGGTCATGGGAAGTCTGCTTGGGATTTTCTCCCTCTCCCTCTGCCCCTTTCGCTTGTATTCTCTCTCTCTGAGATAAATAAATCTTAAAAAAAACCCAAAAAAACAAACCAGGACTCAGGCTGGATTACCCCCCCTCTTCCCGCCAACACCCCTCCACCATGGTTTGCCAACCCCCGCCTAGAGGGACCGAGTGACAGGGCATAGCCGTCTTCAGGACGACAGGACCAGGAGTGAGTAGAAGTGTGCACCATATGGCAAGCTTTGGAATCCTAGCCCTGGAGGTCTTTAGGCAGAATCTAGAAGCCCAGCTTTTGAGACATGATGGAGGCAGTCTCTGCAGTAATGGGGACTTAGATTCTAACAGCTACCAAGGTATTTGTTTTACAAATCAGTTCATTTTACAAATATTTGCGGGCCAGATATGGTGCGGTGTTAGGAGCTGTTGATATAACGGTGAACAAAATAGACACGACCCCTGCCTGTGTGGGCTTTAGTCTCACAGGGGCCAAAGTCAACAGGTCGTGTGATGAGCACTGTGACAGAGGCAGAACGGGGTGCTGTGGAAGCACATGGGGGGGTCATGTTAACGTGTTCACAGTATCTTAGTTCTCAGATGGAAGAAGGGACAGCAAAGCTAAGTAAGTGGGAGTTAGCCAGACTTGGGGGGCCAGGAGCAGAGGGAGGGAAGGCAGCAGGAATAGCATGTGCAAAGGCCCAGAGGTGAGAGGGCTTAGCTTGTTGGCGGGGGCGGGGGGCGCGCAAGGGTTATGTCATCTGATTGGAATACAGAGTAGGGCTTTCCAGACATTAATATGTGTATGAATTGCTTGGGGATCTTGTTAAAAATGCAGATCCTGATCCAGGGAGTGGGGCCAGAGTCTGCATTTCTGCCTCGCTCCCGGGGGATGCTGATGCTGCGGGTCCATGGAGCCCACAGCGTAACAAGGCTGTAGAGTGTGTGTACTGGGGTGTGAGAAATGAGCTGGTGAGGTGGGTAGGGCCTCCTGAGCCCTGTTTGAGTTAGGGCTCACAGGGCAGGAAGGAGTCATCCAAGGGCTTCCATCAGGTACAAATGTTTTAATAGCTGGGGCGTTCTAGAAAGTTGGTTGTGGTTACAGTAGGGAAAATACATGGGTGTGGGGCAGGATTAGAGGCCAGGAGACCAGTTAATGGCCAGGGTAGGGTTGATGGCATCGAGGGCCCAAGTGAGGGGAAGCACGGGTGGGCCCTTGGGTGGGTATGAGGGGGAATGAGGAATTCGGTTCGGAATATGCGAAGGGGAGAGTTCCGTGGGGCATCCACATGGAGAAATCTGTGGCCACGTCACCACAGGGGCCTGTGTGGCTGGGGAGGAGGCTTGGCGCCTCGGGTCTACAGAGTAACCAGTTCTGATGCCCCTTTCTTCCTCCAGGTCTTTGCAAGAGAAGGGAACGTGCCCAATATTATCATTGCTGTAAGTCCCTGGTCCTGGGCCCCTTGGAGGTCCTGGAGCCTCACTTTCCCTCCCTCCCAAGAGCCTAAGTGCTCAGAGCTTCCTTGTTGGAGAGGCCCATGGTCACCAGAGCCCTTGCCGCTCCCCTTGGCAGAGGGAAGCATTCTGCCCCAGTTGGTCGGGAGGCCTCTGGGTGGGTGGCTGTGTTGATTCGATGTGTACTCTGGGTTGCGGAGGAGGTTCGGAGGGGAGGTGAGCGCAAACAGTGGGGAGCAGGAACTCAGGAGCTAAAGGCAAGCTCATTCTGTCGGCCTCAAGCCCTTGCCGTCTCCTCCCTAGGGCCCCCCCGGAACCGGCAAGACTACAAGCATCCTGTGTTTGGCACGCGCCCTGCTGGGCCCAGCATTCAAGGATGCTGTTTTGGAGCTCAATGCCTCCAATGACAGGTACACCTGGGAGTTTGGACTGTGTGAAGGGTGGCGAGTGTTTGAAGTTTGAGTTGTCATAGAAACCGCCTTTTTGCAATTCTGTGTTGTACTTGGGGTTTGTCTCGCCAGCTCTGTGTTTTCCTTTGATCCTTCCCCGTGAACGAGAATGGGCGTCACTTCCCTGTCCGAGTGGCAGCGTAAGCACTGACTTGCTGGTTTCCTTTTTTTTTTTTAAATGAAGGTGTTTTTTGTTTTTTTAAAGATTTATTTATTTTAAAGGGAGAGATAGAGTGCATATGCACACGTGCGTGCAGGAGAGGGGCAGATGGAGAGAGAATCTTTTTTTTTTTTTTTTTAAGATTTTATTTATTTGCGAGAGAGAGAATGAGAGACAGAGAGCATGAGAGGGAGGAGGGTCAGAGGGAGAAGCAGACTCCCTGCCGAGCAGGGAGCCCGATGCGGGACTCGATCCCGGGACTCCAGGACCATGACCTGAGCCGAAGGCAGTCGCTTAACCAGCTGAGCCACCCAGGCGCCCTGGAGAGAGAATCTTAAGCAGACTCCCCGCCGAGCGTGGAGCCTGATGCGGGGCTTGATCCCACCACCGTGAGACCACAACCTAAGCCGAAACCAAGAATTGGACGCTCAACCGACTGCGCCACCCAGGCACCCCTTTAATGAAAATTTTAAAAATTATTTTTAATTGTGGTAAAATACACATACCATAAGATGTACCATCCTCAGCATTTTTAAGTGCACTGTTCAGCGGTGTCACACGCATTCCCATTTCATTTGCGGAACTGAAACTGCATATCCATGAAACAATAACTTTCTGTTTCCCCCTCTCCCCAGCCCCGGCAACCACCATCCTACTTTCTGTTTCTATGAATCTGACTCCTCTAGGGACCTCACCTAAGTGGAATCGTCCAGTATTTGTCTTCTTGTAACTGGCCTACTTCACGCAGCATAATGCTCTCAAAGTTCTTCATGTTGGAGCAGGTGTCAGAATGCCCTTCCTTCCTAAGGCTGAATCGTGTCCCCCTGTGTGGAGAGACCACCACAGTTTGCTTATCTGTTCATCTGTTTTGGACCCTGGCGTTGCTTTCATCTTTTGGCTGCTGTGAATCGTGAATCATGCTCACACGAACGGGGCTGTACAAATAGCTCTCTGAGACCCTGCTTCACGTATCTCGGACACATACTCAGGAATGGGATGGCTGGATTATTTTTGGTAATTCTGTTTAATTTTCTGAGGAAGCGCTGTCTTCCCCGGCGGCTGTGCCACTTGATGGGCTCACTGACAGTGCGCAATTTCCCCACATCCGCACCAGCACTCGTTTTCTGTGTTTGCTGGCAGTGGTGGGCATCCTGATGGGCGGGAGGTGCTGTTCCCTCTTCAGATAAAACCAGTAGAGGACTAAGAAATGAGGAACCGTTGAATAAAATGTCTGCAGAGTCTGCCTTCGGTGATTCCTTAAGGATGTGGGTCTCAGCGCCTTACTGTTTTCCGGGTTTCGAAGAGCCACACAGACCTGAAACAGAAAATGCCCTTCGTAGGCAACTACCTGCTCATCCGCTGTCATGAACGAGCCTGGGAGTGACCCATTTTGTAAACGCTGATTCCAGACGTCAAATACAAATAGGTTCCAGCTTACTGTTACTTCTTGTTATACTCACCCTTGACTCATCAAACTATTTTTTTTTTCAAAGATTTTATTTATTTATTTGAGAGAGAGAATGAGATAGAGAAAGAGAACATGAGAGGGGGAGGGTCAGAGGGAGAAGCAGACTCCCCGCCGAGCAGGGAGCCCGATGTGGGACTCGATCCAGGGACTCCAGGATCATGACCTGAGCCGAAGGCAGTCGCTTAACCAACTGAGCCACCCAGGCGCCCAAGACTTTAACGTTTTGTGGGTTTTTTTTTTAGCATAGTTGGGAATAATTGAGAAGGAACAAGGAAATGGTCACTAGGATGATGACATTGCCATTTCGTTTCAAGATACAGGAAGAATAAGGTCACTGAGACCTCGTGATGTATTTCAGATTATCCAAGGGTCCAGTGAACTCGCAGGGTAATTGCAAGATAAAATGACTCTCATGCTGTCAGAAGGAATAAGTACATTTTATCTTTTTTGGGGGGGGGGGGGGGAGGACCTCCACAAAGGAATAAAAGTAATGCAGCGTCAATCCTTATACATAGTTAGAATTGCCCCGGAAACCTAAAAACTAAAATTGTGTGTGTGGTGGTGTTCCGGGGGTTAGAAGCCCCCCGAAGGTACGTGGATGTGTCTGGGAAGGTGACAGTACAGTGACACCTTGTCGTTTCAGGGGCATCGATGTGGTGCGGAACAAAATCAAAATGTTTGCCCAGCAGAAGGTCACGCTTCCCAAAGGGCGGCACAAGATCATCATCCTGGATGAAGCAGACAGGTAGAGCACTTGGCCAAGCACACACGGACCTCGATTTCTCAGTCTCTTGTCAGGCTTTGTTAAAGCAGAAGCTCTCTCCCCTCTGCACTTTTGTGCCAGACCAGCTTATCACATCTTCCAAAAGCCAATTTAACAGGCGCCTGAGTCTTACCCCTTATCTTTGTTAAGTAACTTACAAACATTTGTAGAAGACAGTGTCGGTTAATGGGTTCGTTCCAGCTTCCCGTGGATGACTTGAATGATATCTCTCTTTATTGTGGTGAAATACACACGACATAAAATTTACCATTTTAACCATGTCTTTAAAAAAATATTTTATTTATTAGAAAGACAGGGAGGGAGGGAAGGAGCACGAGTGGGGGGAGGGGCGGAGGGCGAGGGAGAAGCAGACTCCCCGCTGAGCAGAGAACCCCACAGATGCAGGGCTCGGTCCCAGGGCCCCGGGACCATGACCTGGACTCGAGGGTGCCCAGGCTCTCTGGGGAGGGATTTGTGTCCAGGGGGCCCTGGGTTCCAGTTGCAAACTGCCCCCGTGTGTTTTTCTTTTTCAGCATGACTGATGGAGCCCAGCAAGCCTTGAGGAGAACCATGGAAATCTACTCCAAAACGACTCGCTTTGCTCTTGCTTGTAATGCTTCAGATAAAATCATAGGTGAGAGTCAGCTCTAGGTGGCTTGGGGTCCACCCGTGGTGCTCACGTTGGCTCTTTAGCCACAGAAGAGTAGGGGCTTTTTGATTGCCTACCACGGGCTGAGCACTAGAGAATCTACTTTTTCTTTTAATCTTATATAATTCTACGTGAAGGTATTCTTAGCTCCACGTTAGAGAGGAGAAAACTGGAGCTCAGAGAGGTTGAGTACTTTGCCCAGAGTCACACAGCACATGGAAGAGCTGGGACTGGAACCCCGATTCTGTCGGGCTCTTGCTCTATCGCGGGCACACGTGACACTTCGATGTCCTTTGTACAGTGTCATGGTCACGGCCTTGCCGCAGACGTGCGCCTGCACTTTGTGTGTGCGCTGGGCATTTGGCACACACTCGTCTGTACACGGGGCTTTGTCATCACCAGGGACTGCCTCCCCTGTTGCAGGCTCACCCATCAGTCCGCTCGGACCCAGCACCTGTCCCTCCGTCCCCTGAAGTCTTGTCTGCTTCCTCACTCCTTTGCCCCCCTCCTGTCTCAGCTTCCTGCTGGTTTGCACTTTCTTCCCTTTTTGATACCCATGGCAGACCCAGTCCTGCTTTGTTTCTTTCTTTCTTTTTTTTTAATGAGATTCGAGAATGATTTCTTTTTTTTCTTTTTAAAGATTTTTATTTTTTTTTAATTTATTCATGAGAGGCAGAGAGAGAGAAAGGCAGAGGCAGAGGGAGAAGCAGGCTCCCCGTGGCGCAGGGAGCCCGATGCGGGGCTCAATCCCGGGACCCCGGGATCATGACCTGAGCTGAAGGCAGACGCCCAATCGACTGAGCCACCCAGGCGCCCTCCCGCTTTGTTTCCTTCTCACCATTTCTCACCCCTCTCTTGCATCACACCCACACTGCTAACCCCCAGCCTGTGTGAGCTCAGCCCTGGGACTCGCCCTTCCACACCCAGGCCACAGTCGCAGCTACAGACTGGCGTGTGGCCAGCCACGCTGTGCCGTGTGGTCCCGGTTCCCAGCCTCGGCGGGCTTGCCATGGCACCAGGAACCCTTCGTGTCCTTCCACCTGCACCAGATGCTCATTTCTTTTTTTTTTTCTACTTTTTTTTTTTTAAGATTTTATTTATTTATTTGACAGAGAGAGACACAGCGAGAGAGGGAACACAAGCAGGGGGAGTGGGAGAGAGAGGAGCAGGCTTCCCGCCGAGCAGGGAGCCCGATGCGGGGCTCGATCCCAGGACCCTGGGATCATGACCTGAGCCGAAGGCAGACGCTTAACGACTGAGCCACCTAGGCGCCCCAGAAATAAAATCTTTAAAAAAATAAATTCTGTGAACTCTGGAGTGCCTGGCTGGCTCAGTCAGAAGAGCATGTGATTCTTGATCTCAGCGTTGTGAGTTTGAACCCCACATTGGGTGTAGAGACTACTTAAAAAATAATAATAATACTAAATTCTGGGGCGCCTGGGTGGCTCAGTCATTAAGCGTCTGCCTTCAGCTCAGGTCATGATCCCAGGGTCCTGGGATCGAGCCCCGCATCGGGCTCCCTGCTCAGTGGGAAGCCTGCTTCTCCCTCTGCCACTCCCCCTGCTTGTGTTTCTGCTCTCGCTAGCTCTCTCTCTGTCAAATAGATAAATCTTTAAAAAAAATAATAATAATAATAATAAACTCTGCGAACTTAGCTTCCGGTGTTCTGCACAAGAGGAAAATCTGCTAAAGGAAACTTCTAGTGTAGCTGGAACATTAATTGCTTTTATCTTATCTTGTGCTGATAAGCCAAATACGTAATTGAGGGTCTTGGTGGAGATTCCTGATTTCAGATAGGTTGAAATGGACTAACTCTTAGGACTCCCCGGTTTCTTTAATGCACATAAACTTAGAGGAGTGCACTCCTTGAAAGTGCGTGTGAGCACAGAGGATGGAACACAGAGCAGATGGGGGCTTGGAGATCAAGGAGAAGCTGTTGTCACAGTCTAAAAGGAGTGTCAGGGGCAGCTTCCAGAATTCTGCATCCGTCTCTCTAGTGGCTCTCTGCCCAGGCCAGAGTCAGAATGTCCTGTGGAGCCTCAGAGAAACCCTGCACATGTCCCTGCTCACCCTGGACCGGCCGGGTGGGGACACCCAGCACACACGGTGACCGGGAGCCCAGCACCCACTCACCTGCGGGCTGTGGCACGTGGGTGTCTCGATCCTGGAGGGTCTTTTCCCCTTCTGGAAGCCGAGGCTAGCTAAGGCCATCGGGGCAGTGCTGGGCAGGCTTACTGGTTGAGGCTTTGAGCTAGCGGAGGGCACCGGCTGGGGAGGGAGCTGTCGGTGCCCTCGTGGCTGGTGCGTGTCCCGCGCAGCGGCTTCCTAGCACGCGGGGCTGTCGGGGATGCGCCGGCCTCTGCGCGGCGCCTCACCCTTCTGTCCCTGTCAGAGCCCATTCAGTCCCGCTGCGCAGTCCTCCGCTACACGAAGCTGAGCGACACCCAGGTCCTCGCCCGGCTGCTGACAGTGCTGGAGCAGGAGAAGGTGCCCTACACCGACGACGGCCTGGAAGCTGTCATCTTCACGGCGCAGGGGGACATGCGGCAGGTGCGTGCCGTCGGGGCCCCTCGGCGCCCACCTCCTGGGCCACGTGCGCCTCGTTCTGTGCGGGGGAGGCTGCGCAGAGACCATGAACCCCGCTCACTGGGGCCTTGGGCTGGCCGAAGACAGACCCGGGAGGAGGGGGCTCCGCTTGGACTCGGGGGGTTGGGGTGGGGTGCTCAGGACTGAAAATCGCCCCCAACGCACACTTGATTCTCCACAGGCGCTGAACAACGTGCAGTCGACTTTCTCGGGGTTCGGCTTTATTAACAGCGAGAACGTGTTCAAGGTACAGGAGCTGCTGGGGCCCCTGTGCCCCGCGCAGAATTGGGAGGGTCTCGGGAGCGCCCCCGCGCGTGGGGAAGTGGAAGTGCTCCGCGCCCCAAAGGACCTCACGCTGCGCCGCACCCCAGGGCTCTCCGATCTGGTGGCAGAGGACGCAGGCTCCCCGCTGCCCCCTCCCCGGGATGGTCCCACTGCTGGGAGGCAGGAGGGGACGCTGAGCCCCTGCTCCCTGCCTCCCACACCCACCAAGCTGAAGGACGAAGTTTCCCACTCTCCCACATTGGCCAAGGCTTTTTTTTCTGGGAACGCTTTTGAAAAGGGGCTGCCCCATCCTAACAACTTGGCTCTTTTGGAGGCCAGTTAGTTTCCCCCTTATTTGGGGGTAAAAACTGGGTAGGGCTGCCCATGCGTTCAGACCAGAGCTGTTTCTTAGCAAGTTTGTTTGGGTAAAGAAAGCTGTGTGGAAAGCCTGTTTCGGCCCTGGTGGTGACTGTGTTTTCAGGGACACTCCAGGAACTTGCTTAGTTTCCTCTGGATAGTTCAGGCTCTGAGCCATCCTGGAGCAGACCTTCCAGGGCTCTGGAAAGCAGGATTTCTGGGGGAAGTTAACTGAGCTGGGAAGAGAAGTCCTAGGGCACTTGGGGCTGTGGGAAAGAGCAGAAGGCTCCTTCAGAAGTTGTAAACGTGGTTGGGGGCGCCTGGGTGGCTCAGTAGAGTGCTGACTCTTGATCTCAGGTCTTGATAGGGTTGTGAGTTCGAGCCCGGCGTCGGGCATGGACACTACTTAAAAAAAAGAAGAAGTCGAAGTTTTAAATGTGGGTCCCGGGGTGGAGGGTGGAACGCGGACTCCAGGCCAGTGGAGGGAGGGGCCGGGGGGGCAGCCCCAGGCTCGGGGACACCTGTTCCTCTTCATGCTGACATGCTGGCGTCGGGGGGAGTCTGTCCCTGGAAAGCCAGTTTCTATTCCAGGTGGGAGGCTGGTCGAGTTCGTAAGTGGATTGTGAGTGGTTCTGGGCAAGCGGTCCTCCGAGTGTGGGGCTGACAGCTTTTCAGAGGACAAGAGATTCCCGTGGGCCCTTGTTCACTCCGCTCGTGCTTGGGCAATCTGTAACCACGGTGTCCGAACTTCCTCCCCAGTGAGGAAGGTTGACGCCACACTCTGGTGACGCGTTTGGTAGTGAGAGGGGCGTTCCCAAGCCTGGTTCTGTTTGCCGGGGAATTCGATGGGAAAAGCCCGCTGAGCGGTTGGTTACGCTGGTGTGTCGGGGCTCCTCCTCAGGTGGGCCCCTCAGCTGCTGACAGGCCTCTCTTTTCGGTTTGCTCAGGTCTGCGACGAGCCCCACCCCTTGCTGGTGAAGGAGATGATCCAGCACTGCGTGAACGCCAACATCGATGACGCCTACAAGGTTTGCGTCCCTCCTCCTCCCTGACTCGGGGGGAGACTTTGCTTCTTCGGCAGTGCAGAGGGGGTCTGTCTGTGTGCTGGGGACTTCGCTCACATGCACTGCTCCCCTCGATTCTTGCTTGGAATGAGGCCAGGAGCTAGGTACACACCAGAGGAAGAAACGGATTCCGGGAGGCTGGATTCCTTGGTCTGAATCACACTGCTGACAAGCACTCAACCTGCAATTCAGAGTCATGTCCTTGTCCTATAATTATATCCTCCACAAGGGAACTTGGTCCACCCAAGAGCTGAGGAAAGACCAGCCCAACTCCTTACGTTTCCATGATGCCATCTGTGTCTGCCAAGGGACACTTTGCCCTCCGTCCCCCTGAGGAACATGGGAACGGCGTTCAGGGACCCAGTGGTCCCTGGTCATCTGGGAGAAGCAGGACCCAGGGCTTCCAGCCTCGTTATGGAGCCTGGTCCCATGTGCACATTCCAGGGGGCATCATCACAGTTCAGGTGACCCTCAGGTCCACAAGGGTGGCAATGGTATGATTTAAGGCCACTGGCCTGGTCCCACCCAGTTTCCCTCCCCCTGCTCCCACCAAACTAGGCCGAAGTGGACTGGGTTTATGGCAGGGCCAGATGTAACTCAAAACCAAAGGGCGAGGCGGGGAGACCAAGGCAGAGACCCAGACACAGGGCCCAAAGGTAGCCTTCAGATTTAGGGACACAGAGCTTCCATGCCCCCTGCATCCGCCCCGAGATGCTATGGCAAAGGCAAAACAGCTGATCCCAGACCCCGCCGTCTGAGTGGGCTGGGTGGGATTGGAACTGGGGCCTGTGGTTGAGACCCGGCAGGAGGCTGAGAGGACTCTGCTCGGTGGAGATCTGGTGGAAGCTAGGCCTGCAGGGGGGCCTCTTCCCCTTGGGTGCTCACTGGCATGATTAATACCGTTTTTTTAGGAGCCTTGGATAAAGACACTACATGGGTGCCATAGGAGACCATGCAAAACATTTTAAAGATTTTGTTTTTATTTATAAGAGAGAGAGAGAAAGAGGGTGCGAGCGGGCAGGGGGAAGAGCAGAGGGAGAGAGGGACAAGCAGACTCTGCGCTGAGCTCAGAGCCTGACATGGGGCTTGATCTCAGAACCCTGAGAACATGATCTGAGCCGAAACCCAGAGTCTGGCGCTTAACCGACTGCGCCCCCCCAGGTGCCCCTTACCACGCAGTACATTTTAAAACATTGGCGATGTTGGGGCGCTTGACTGGCTCAGCCCGTAGCGCATGTGACTCTTAATCTCAGGAGCCTGAGTTCAAGCACCACATTGGGCATGGAGCCTGCTGTAGTAAAAAAAATTAAAAAAAAAAAAAAGAATAGGGCGCCTGGGTGGCTCAGACGGTTAAGCGTCTGCCTTCGGCTCAGGTCATGATCCCAGGGTCCTGGGATCGAGTCCCGCATTGGGCTCTCTGCTCCTTGGGAGCCTGCTTCTCCCTCTGCCTCTCTCTCTGTCTCTCATGAATAAATAAATAAAATCTTTAAAAAAAAAAAAAGAATAAATAAAAAAATAAAACATTTGTGATGTCATCTCTCCCTGTTGGGAAACTCCAGTGACCCCCAGGCAGGCTGGATGGCTGGGTTGCCAAGGGTGATCTGTCTGCTCCCTGCTGTGTGACAGACCCAAGACGGGTGTGGCTTCACCCTTGTCCCCTCTCCACCCCCCCCCATACCCTTGTCACCCAGTGTATCTTCCTCTGTCTAGATTCTCGCTCACCTGTGGCATCTTGGCTATTCGCCAGAAGACATCATTGGCAACATTTTTCGAGTGTGTAAAACCTTCCAAATAGCAGAGTACTTGAAACTGGAGTTTATCAAGGTCAGTGAGGGTGTAACAATGTCTCTCCTGGGGAGCGTGGGCCACGTTGCGGTCTCTTCGTGTGGCTCCCAGGCCTGGCCCCCGGAAGGTGCCCAGTGAGTGTGCCACCGCCGGATCGTCCTGGGGTGGGAGTTGGTTTCAGCCTGTTTTGCCAGTCAGCGGCCTGCAGTTCCTCAGGGTGGCTCTCTTCACTCAAGATTTGTTTGCTTGTTTACCCTTAAGTTCAGGTTGATTGAGGTATAATCTACAGAGAGTAAAATGCACCTCTCAGGTGCCTTCTGTTGACTGGTGTTCAGTCTTGTCAAGGTCGGAACAGCTCGATAATTCCCCCGCCCCCTAAATGCATGTGCCCCTCGGTAGTCGGTCAGCTCCTCCCCCAGCAGCCAGAAACCACCGCTTTGTTTTCTCTTTGGGGGGACACCATTTTCCGGAAGGTTGTCCTATGGACATGACAGCAGAATCAAGGAGATGGTAGCCTTTTGAGTCCGCCTAGCTTAACGCACTTCGGCTTTGTTCATGCTGTCGCATCTGTTGGTGGGTCGTTCCTCTTCTTTGCCGAGCAGCGAACCACGGTTTGTGTGTTCACCACCTGAAGGACGCCGGGGGGGGGGGGGTCTTGGTTTTGGTGACGATTAGTGAGACCACTATAAACATTTGCGCATGCGAATCGGTGTGAACGTAAGTTTTTATTTTTCTCGGGCAACTTCCCAGGAGGTAGGATTGCTTGTTCTAATGGTCAGGGTATGTTTAACTTTATAAGAAACTGCCAAACCGATTTCTGAAGCGGCTGTAGATTGTGCATTTCTCCCAGCAGTGTGTGAGCATTCCAGATGCCCCCCCAAGCCTAGCCAGCACTTGCAATGTTCGGTTGATTCTTTTTTTTTTTTAGATTTTATTAGAGAGAGAGTCGGGGGGAGGGGCAGAGGGAGAGGGAATCTCAAGCAGGCTCCATGCCCAGTGCAGAGCCTGATGCGGGGCTCGATCTCACAACCCTGGGAACATGACCTGAGCGGAAACCAAGAGGTGGACGCTCAACATACAGAGCCACCCCGGGCGTCCCCTCAGTTGATTCTGTTAAAGCCATTCTAATAGGTGTGTCGTAGCATCTTCTCCTGGCTTTAACATGCATTTCCCAACAGCTGACGGCGTCGGGCACTTTTGCATGTGCCGATTTGCCATCCATTATCTTTAACGAAGCATCTGTTCAAATCTACCGATTTCTTAATTGGGTCATTTTCTTCTTACTGAGTTTTGAGACTTACTTATATACCCTGGCTTCAGGTCCTCTATCAGACATGTGTTTTATAAATATTTTAATATTTTCTCCAAGCCTGGCTTTTTCTTTTTTTTTTATTTTCTTAACAGTACCTTATAGGGAAATAGCCAAATAGACTGAACTCTAAACACAACTCAGGACAACTTAGAGTTCCTTTTCCAGCTGAAGTTTGAGTTCATTGTGTCCACTTTAAGTAAACTGGTAGTTTAAGTTAAAAAACATAAAGTCCTCCCTCACTTATTCTTTTTTTAAAGATTTTATTTATTTATTTGACAGAGAGACACACAGTGAGAGAGGGAAGACAAGCAGGGGGAGTGGGAGAGGGAGAAGCAGGCTTCCCCTGAGCAGGGAGCCCGATGCGGGGCTCGATCCCAGGACCCTGGGATCGTGACCTGAGCCGAAGGCAGACCTTAACCGACTGAGCCACCCCGGCGCCCCCCTCCCTCACTTATTAACCAGCTTGACATGTGCTTTGCTTTTCAGGAAATCGGATACACGCATATGAAGATAGCAGAAGGCGTGAACTCCCTCCTGCAGATGGCAGGGCTCCTGGCCAGGCTATGTCAGAAGACAATGGCCCCAGTGGCCAGCTAGCGGGGGAGAACTCGTTGCTCGGGGTGACAGGGGTCCTGAGAGTCCTCGTCCAGGAGAAACAGGAGTCAGCGCCTTCTGATTTGGAAAAAAGGCCGCCCTCGACCGGCATGGGGACACACCTTCCCCTGACACGACCGTGGTCTTCACGCCTCTCCCACATGTGTCTGCAGTCAGCTTCAGCCTCACGGACATGGTGGCAGGGTGACAGGGCCCCAGAGAACCTCAGGGCTTGGCACCCGATCTGGGCACATGTGGCATCTTAGTTAATAAAAACGCTATACGGTTTGGTCGGCGCTAAGGTGGCGTCGCCAGGCCACAAGGAAAGCCAGCGTCCCGTCTCTGAGTGTCCCCAGCGTCCGACAAGTAGAACAGGTGATGGGGATAGTAGACCGATGAAGCTGATCTCAGTGCTTCTAGAAGCCTGGAGGACAGTTCCATGGGGTAAGGGATGGAGAACAGCCTGGGACAGTAAGGACTTCAGAGAGGACCGGCAGGAGTCACCTGCCGGTGACAGTGGTGTGACGCCTGCCCACTGACTGGCCTTTTCTGTACAACCGCGTATGCGTGTTGCTTTAGAATTCCCCAGTGAATTTTCTATTACTTTTACGATCGTTCCTCCCCCACAAGGTACTATTTTTTCCCCCATTTTCTTAAATTATAAAAAAATATCAGTGTACATAAAAGAAAGGATAGGGCGCACCTGGGTGGCTCCGTCAGGTGAGCATCCAACTCTTGGTTTCGGCTCAGGTCATGATCTCAGGGTCCTGGGATCGAGCCCCGCATCGTGCTCCCTGCTCAGTGGGAAGCCTGCTTCTCCCTCTGCCCCTCCCCCTGCTCATGCTCGCTCACTCTCCCTCTCTCCAATAAATAAAATCTCTTAAAAAAAGAGTGGGGGGGGAGAAAAAGAATTAAGGTCCTCAAAAACGGCAATGTGAGGTTTTAAAAAACATTTTAACATATTTCCTCAATCTTATTCTTCATCTGGAGCCTCATGATCGTGGTGAGGTTTGCAGGGGAGGACCAGGGCCCAGAGGCGTGTGTCTGCCACGCACCCCAGAACCGTGTTGGCAGGACTCCTCCCGCCTGGAGCCCCCACCACAGCCCCACTGCGCCCCGCTCCGTCTCTGAGCCTGAGGTCGGGACTCCCGGGGCTGAAGGAACCAGCGGCCAGTAGCTGTGTTCTGGTTTTCCTTCTCATTTCCTAACTGATGGCATTAACTTGGACAGTTAGTGTGGCATCCTGGAAAGTGTGGACTCCAGGACCAGGTTCCTGTCCCCCAGCTCGCTCTCTCCTCTCTTCTGTCTCTGTCCCTCTCTCTTGGGGCCTCAGGGTCTTTTCCCATTAAACAAGAGGCTTGACTTCCACTCCCTTGGAAGGTTTTGCATGAAGCAAGAAAAACAGACATGAGAATTGCTAGTCTTAGGAAATGCTTTATTAAGATGTTTCAGTTGAAGGAAACATCTTGCCTCTCCGTCTGTGGCTTTTCTGGCTTAGAAGGTCCCTTTGGGCCCCTGGGCTTCCCATGACACAGCTGTGTCCCTGCTCAGTCAGCTCAGCCGAGTCCAGTCCTGGGGCTGGGGAGGATTTGGGGACGACAGAGGGGCGCCACTCAGCCACTCCTTGCTGCTCCTTCTCTAGAAACAGGGTGTGCTCTGCCCGCAGCAGACGTTCCCACTGAAGGGCACCCGGGTGTCCCGTAGCCTCATCTCTTCCAAGTGAACTGAGGCCCGAAGAATGGAGCGCGGGGGCTCCCCCTCTCTGCTGAAATGATGTGTAATCCTCACAGGAGACGAGATAGACGAGACTCTGTACCCGGAGATGAAGATTATTAAATATGGTTCCACCTATATAAATTAACTGTACAAGTTTATGGATCAGGAAAAAGATCCCAGCAATTGATGTTAGTAAGCAATTTGGAACCTGAGTCCAAAGCAAAAAGGCACAGGAATACCAGCAACGCACAATGTTTTCAGACGTGGGGACGGGGGTGCAGCTTGCCCTGACCCTCGGGCATCGGATCAGGTCAGAAGCCATGCTGCCCTCAGCCTCGGGCTCCTGCAGAAGCCAGGCCGGGCCTGATGTCCCGTGTAACTGTTCTTACCCCAGCCGGTCCCCACGGCCGGCCGGCCGGTCCTCCGGACGCCTCGGTGCATCTCCCAGGGGTAACCATGGCGGGTGTCGAGGTTGGGCAGCTCCGGAGAGAGAAGTGACCCCCGGGGGAGGCAGGATATAGCCCTCAGCCTGGGGGTTCCCTGGTGGTTTCTGCCACCCCACCTTCCAGCTCAGAACCCTGCACAACCCCTCCGGCTCCTGCCCCATGTCTCTGCTCCCCTCTGAAGTGGAACTTCTGGAATGTTCTCTACTCCCTGTCTTGGGACTCCTGTGTTCTGAATACAAGCAGGCCTTCTCCCCACCACCGAGTCTCACCAGTGCCCACCAGTGCCCACCAGTGCCTGGTGCATCTCCGCCTGCCTGGCGCCTGCTCACACCCTCCCCAAGTGCCTTTCTCGGGCCCAGGACACTGCCCTTTGCCGCTTCGCCTCCCAGCCTCGGGCCTCAGTGCTGGCCCCTCTTCTCAGCCTCACTCCCCGGGGGCTGACAGTTGTCACTCTCAATGACGACGCCCCACGTCTGTCTCCAGCCTGGCCTCGCCCTCAGTCCAGGCTCAGCTGTCTAGCTGCCCACTTCATATTTCTCCCCACGCGCGCAGCTCGAGCCAAACACGTCCAGAAATAAGCTGGCCTGCCCACAGGGCCTGCTCTGCCCACAGCCTCTCACACCTCGGCTGGGGACAGTGACATCCTCTTGTTGCTCAGCCAAAAAACCTGCAGCCCCTCAGCTCCTCTCTACCTGGCCCCCCAACACCCAGTGCATCAGTGAGTCCTGTGCGCTCCACCTTCAAAACCAACTCCCAATTCGGACATAACGGGTAAATACAGAACATTCCATCCCAAACAACAGAATACACATTCTTTTCAAGTACACATGGAACATCCTGCAGAACAGACCACATGTCAGGCCACCAAACAAGCCTCAATAAACGTAAGAAGACTGAAATCATACCATACATCCTTTCCAACCGCAGGGGTACGAAACTAGAAATCACAAGAAAAATGGAAAAATGCAGACACGTGGAGGTTAACCAACACGATACTAAACAACCAATGGGTCAACAAAGAAATCAAAGAAAAAATTGCAAAAAATACACAGAGACGGGGCGCCTGGCTGGCTCAGTCGGGATAGCATGCGACTCTTGATCTTGGGGTCGTGAGTTCGAGCCCCACGTTAGGTGTAGAGATTACTTAGAAATAAATAAACTGGGGCGCCTGGGTGGCTCAGTTGTTAAGCGTCTGCCTTCAGCTCAGGTCATGGTCCCGGGGTCCTGGGATCGAGCCCTGCATGGGTCTCCCTGCTCCGCGGGAAGCCTGCTTCTCCCTCTCCCACTCCCCCTGCTTGTGTTCCCTCTCTCGCTGTGTCTCTCTCTGTCAAGTAAATAAATAAAAAAATCTTAAAAAAAAAAAAAGAAACTTAAAAAAAAATCTAAGACCAAACAAAACCCTATTCATGTTGGCCTCCACCCCAAGCCAAGAAGTCACCTTTTCCCTGGATTCTCATTGGTCTCTGTGCATCCCTTTCTGCCCCCTGAATTCATTTCCCTCCTCAGCAGCCAGGGATCCCGTTCCCAGGCTCCCAGGCTCCCAGGTTCCCAGGCTGCGCCCCCTCCCATCTCAGAAAACCCAGGGGTCGCTGCGTGGCTGCCCCCTCCCCTGTTGTCAGACCCTCTGGGCACGCTTCTGCCCCCCTGCGCGTCCTTCCCCCCCGCCACCGCGGGCCGGGGAGGGAGCACCCCCAGCTGCCCTGGGCAGCCCAGCCTCGTGGTCCGCGGCCTCCTCCCCGCGGGCTTGTCTCCACAGGGCTTATCACCCGCTCACATGCTGCCTGTCCTTCCTGCCCTTTCTCAGCCCACAGCCATCCGTGTCATCACTCTCACCAGAGTGACGTCCTGAACAATCAGGGATTTGGGTGGATTTCTTTCTTTTCTAAGATTTTATTTTTAAGTCATCTCTATACCCAACGTGGGGCTCGAACTTGCAACCCTGAGATCAAGAGTCACATGCTCCGGGCACCCATGGGTGGATTTCGTTTATTGCTGGGTCCCCAGCACCTAAGGCTGACTTGCCCCCAACAGGGGCCCAGTAGATGTTGGGGAGTGCGTGAGCGGTGGGCTCAGGCTTCTACGGCCTCTCCTGCTGTGGCGCCCTCACAGCCCAGGAGCCGCCTGCCCGCCTGCTCCGATCGGGACTTCAGAGGGCCTTCGAGAACCCACTGGGGTCAGTCCTGTCTCCCCGTGGCACAGCCTGGGCCCCAACAGCTGACTCTAAGTGGGGCCTGGGATAGGAGGCTGAGCGCTCTGTGCGTTTGGGGGCCCGAGCTGGTGCGGAGCACTCAGCCCCATACTGGCCGGCGCAGTGGGTGCTGCAGACTCGGTCCAGCCGCGACCATCATGGGCGCCATCCTCTACCTCCCAGTCCCACCCCCGTCCCTGTGTCCTGCACGTGCTGTGTCCCATTTGCTCCATTTTGCAGGTGAGGAAATGGTCCCAGAAGGTTGAGCCACTTGCTCGAGGTTGCAGAGAGGCACCCGGAGCCTACCCCTTCACCCCACAACTCACCAGCCTCCACGGCCTGACACCCCCAACAGTCGCCTGAGACCCTTGTGTCTGCCGTGGAGCTGTGACCTCACCGGGCCTGCTGTGGGCATTGGGGGCAGGACGGCTCAGGAGCTCAGTCCCAACACCCTACAGAGCCACCCATTTCAGCACCCATGGGTGCTACCCCTTGACCCCCCACTGGGGCTCCCGTGTGGCTCCTCCAGCCCTGTTTTTCCCTTGGGATGGGGCCCCCCAGGTCTGTGAGGTCCAGAACCCTGGGCTGAGGCAGCTGTACCTTCCTTCCAGATCCTTCCTAGGCTTCTGTGGCTGCCACATTCTGATTCACGTAATCGGGGTCCTCGCTGTCCTCGTCTGGGCTGCCTGCCAGGGACAGAGGCTCTTCCCTCGGGACTCGCTCTGCGGACCAGCGGGCAGATGGGCAGACGGTGGGCAGACGGTTCATGCGGACACACCCACACCTGCTCCCCCAGCCAGAGGCTCGGGCCCAGGCCCCCGGACGCCACAAAACAGCCTGCAGGAAACGCTACACGGAACACTGTGCCGGTCCCCATCTCTGGGGTTTGCCAGAGATTTCTGCCCCGGGGGCGGCTGAGCGGGCGTCCTGGTCCTGGCAGGGTTCCAGGCCGCTGTGGCCACTGATGGGCCAGAGGCGTCACTGTGAAGTCAGCTGCAAGGGCTGCAGGGGAGTCTGTGCCCCCCCGACTGTCCCTCCCTCCCCCCCCCCACTGCCCGATCCTCCCAGGCCAGGCCCTCCGCAGCCTGCTGAAGCTGACCACCCGGGAACCCCTGCTCTCCGGCCACGCACCCACGGCCCTCCTGGACTCCCGCCACTGCCGGATGGATGCCGAGTTCTGGTAATCCTCGGATCCCTCGTCACCTGCAGGGAGACACCGGGAAGGTGGCAGCCGCCGCGGCTAGTCCTCAGGCCCCCTGCATGCTCACTGAGGCCGGGACCCCCGGGGCCTCGTCCAGGTACTCGAGCAAACGGTGAACATTCAGGCTTCGAGGCAGGGGGTGCCTTTGAGCGGCGTGGGCGGGCCTGGCCGAGGAGGCCTCTCCGCCCAGTTCCCAGGGCTGGCGGCCTCACCTGACTCGGGGTCCTTCGGCTTGCAGATGAGCACGTTCTCGTACGAATTGGCATCATCATCATCGTCATCTGCCAGGGAGGGGGTGAGGGTCAGGTTGGTGGGGGGCCCTGCCTGGCGGACCCGGCTCTTCCTCCCTCCCTCCCTCCGTCCTGCCTTCCCTCGGCAGGTGACCTGTCCTGCCAAGCCCCCAGCCCTCTGGGTCCCCCACAGGGTCTCCGAACATTCTCCTGGACAAGATTCTTAGTGGACGCTGGCCTGGCTCCAGCTCCTTCATGGTCCTCCGAGGTCACCCCAAATGCACTGGGGAGGGGAGATGTGGGGATGGGCTTGCAATCAGGGAATTGGATAGTTGGAAGGAGGGAGGCCCATTGCTATCGGGCAACGAGGGGAGGGAGAGCCGCTGGGGGCCGAGGAGAGACGGGAAGCAGGCGTAGACTGGTCCTAAAGCCGTACCTTCGGGCAGGGCAGGGCGGGCCTAGGCTGGATGTGGCCCTAGCAGAGCCTGGCACCCCCTCATCGCCCCTGCGAGCTGAGCTCTAACCGCTGCCCCACCCCGCAGCCTTCTGTGTCAAAGGGACTCCAAGACATGAGGGTCCCTCCCATATTCAGCAGGGGCAGGGGGGAAGAAGAGGCCCCCTCTCTCTGCCTGCCATGCGCCCCAACCCCCAGCCCAGCGTGGCCTCCCCAGACCTCTCAGCAGGCCCGGCCCATCCTCGGTCCTCAGTTTCTTCTTCTGTAAAGCCAAGGTGTTAAGGGCCCAAGATCCCAGCCTCCTCAGAGCCTGCAGGGCTCAGCGTCTGTCAGCAAGGTTGCCCGGCCCAGGCCCTTCCTCTGAGGTCCCACATGTACTCATTACTGGCTGCCCAGCCCTGAGGGGGGCCTGCGTGACCAGGGGCTCAGCCTCCCCCGTTGCCCCTGGCCCCAGGTCCCCTTCTAGTTCCCTCACTTCTGTGGCCCACACCCCCTCCCCTCCCTGCCTCCCACACATCCCTTCCCTACTCTGGTCCCCCACCACCAGCCTCCCCCGGCTCCCCAACTCCGCCACCCATCCAAACCTAGGCCCAGCCTCCCCATCCTCTACGACCTTGGCCTTCTGCAGCTCGCCCCTTCCTCCCCTCCTCCTCCTGCATCTCACCTTCCCTGGGCTTCTGGGTCTGCCCCCAGTTGCAATAGTCCATGGTGATGGGGTCTCTGGCAAGAAAGCACAGACCCAGAGTGGTTGCTGGGCAGGCCGGGGCTCGGGGTGGTGGCATCGTGGGGGACACGGATGACAGGGCTGCTCCAGCCATCACCCCCCGCCCCCACCCTGTTCTTCCCTGGTCCCTCTGTCCCTCTTCCCTGGGCCCCTAAGCCACCCGGCCTGGCTCCAGCCGTCCTGACTTGTGACTCTAGGCAAGTCCCCATCTTCCCTGGGCCTCGGTTTACCCATCTGTGAGACATCCTTGAGGGTCCTTCCTCCCTTATCTCTGGGTGATGCAGACAAGCCCTCCCTAGAGCAGGGCCACGTCCCTGTCCCCACAAAGCCATGGCCAGCTGAGAGGAAGTGATGCTACTGAGCACCTGCCTGGGCCAGTGGGTTCTAGGGCCGGAAGCTTTCATAAAGGGGGAAGCCCGGTGGGGGTGGGTGGGGGAGGGGAGGAGGTGCCGGCCCTGCAGAAGGCCACTCACATGTAGGCTGCATCGGATCCGGATCTGGATCCATGTCTGCTCCCTGCAGGAGGAGGCGAGGATTAGGCCCGAGCACTGGGCCCTGGGCCCCACCGCAGCCCACCTCCCAGGATCCCACCCACCTTTGCTGAAGTTCTGGTACCTGGAGGACTCAGAATCTGGAAGAAAGGCCGGGCTCATTGCTTCCTCCCGCCCCTGCCCCCCCCCCCCCCAAGGGAAGGGCCTTCAAGGACCCAGGTGTCTCCTACCTTCCCACCTTGACACCTGCTCTCCATCCCCTCCCCCGCTAGGCCAACCCAGGGGCCTCCCGGCCCAGCTCCCCTGGCCCCCCGGGCCTCCCCTGCACAGGTACTGCCCCACCAGGTATTCACCTGTCTCAGTCCCACCTCACCCCTGCCCCCACCCCTGTGTCTGGGGGCCACTCACCCTCGAGGCTGGGGGAGAACCTCAGCAGCTTGTCCTTCCTGCAGGAAAGGGGGAAGGGAGGGGCTGAGAGGGGCCAGATGGGGAAAGGCCTTGGGGTTTCTGAACCACAGTCCCACAGCCCTACAGCCCCCTCGTGGGGCCCTCACAATCCAGCTCTGGGGCTCTGAGGTCCAAGGTCTTGGCCTGAGCTCAGCCAGGTGGGGCCCCCGGGGCTCTCCTTCCCATGGCCTCCTATGGGGCTGTTGACCCCTCCGGGCCTCGGATGGGGGGCTTGTCCCTACCTTGTTGGCGCCACGTCGGAGTCTGTGTCCACCAGGGGCCCTGGCCAGGCCTGTCTGACCACTGCAAAGGACAAGGGGCTGTTGGCTGGGCCTCCAGTGCTGTCCCCCCACTCCACCAGATTGGGCCTGGCCACAGTCCCCATATGGACACCCCCAACCCCGAGCCCAGTCCCTGGACCCTTCGGTTCGGGGACTCACAGGAATAGGTCCGGGCCACTGCAAAGTTCTGTTGATTCTCTTCCCTGGGAAAACATGGAGCTGCGCTGAGCCAGGGCCTAGCCTCCCACAGCCCAAGGGACAGAGAGGAGAGACGGACAGACAGGGCCGAGGAACAGAGAGCGGAGGGACAGACCAGGGCGAGAGTGAGGAGCCACCACCCCTCTGGGCCTCAGATCCAGGGCTCTCCCTTTCTCTGAACTGCCCGCCAGGCACCCACCCTTCTCACGTGGCCCCGAGCTGGAGCCTCCGCGGCCTCCCCAGGAACCCCGGAGATGGTCCGGAAGGTCTGTGGGCAGGGCTGGGGAGGTGGCCCTCAGATTCTGAGGTGAGGGTCGGGCGGCTCTTCAGGGACTTCAACTAGAGGGTACCTTCAACCCCTCTTGAGATGTCCAAACACACCATCTACTCCCAAGTAACTGGCAAGGTAACTTCAAGGCTTAGCAGACACAGCAAGGTACCTGGCCATGTGTGGCGTTCCCTTCTTCCTCTGAAATAGATTTTTATTTAGGCCCATCTAAAAGACTGTATTTTCCAGCCTCCCTTGTGCCTGAGTATGGCCATGTGATTAAGCTCTAGTCAATGAAATGCCAGCCAAGACTGTTGGGACTTCAGGAAAACTCCTTTAGAGGAGACACTGCCAACAGGGGTGCACCCTTTTTGTCCCTGTCCTTCATTCTTACTACTGCCTGGAACACAGAGATGAGGGCTGGAGCTCTAGCTGCCATTATGGATCATGAAGTTTCCTTGAGGATGGAAGCCAATGCTAAAGATGGTAGAGCAGATCAGCTAAACATTTAAAGCCTTTTGGGTCCCTCCTCTGGACCAGAAGGGGTACCTGGCCCAGCCTTCCAGGAGCTCCCGGGGAGGAGCGGCTGGAGGGGTCAGGGTGACCTGATTTAGGAAGGATGCCTTTAATGCATGGGCAGGACTGAACCCAAGTGAAGTGGGGAGAACCCAAGTCTCCCCTCCCACCTCCTCCTGCCCAGGCCCAACTTCCCACTTCCCACTATGAGGCAGTTTCACTTCTGGCTCAAACAGCTTATGTTTCTAAAATCAATCAGAGGCCCAGAGTGGGCAGGCACTGAGAGAGGAGGGGAGAGAGGAGGAGATACTGGGGAGGCCTGCCTCGGGGCAGAGGCGTTGGGGGGGCACCAGGGGAGCCCAGCCCCCTCACCCCTGGTGGAGGCTGTGGGCGGGTCATCCAGAGGACCAAGTGGCCAGAAAAGCCCGGCCCCAGCGGTGAGCATGGATGGGGACATTCTATTTTCATATTTCATTGTGGTTTTTCAGTTGCAAAAGGAAATGAGAAAGGGTGTGTGTGCGTTTGTACGTGAGTTCCTTCCCCAGGCAGGCACACACAGGGGTGAGGAGAGGAGTGCACGCCTGAGCAAGAGTGGGGGGGGGGGCGAGTGGGTGTGAGCCGGTGTGCGGGCCCCCGGGCGCTCCGTCGGTCACTTTCCTGCTCAGCGCCAGGACACCAGTGGCCGCCCCCCTCCCTCCCCGGGTTGTCCTTGGGCCACACCGTGGTCTGCAGCGTCCCGCACGGCTGACCCTCCCAGGGCTCATACATAGAGCAGCTCGCCTGCCCCCGAGCTGCCTGGAGCTCCATCCTGCCGGATCCAGCTGCTCGGCCTGGGGTCAGTGACCCCCCAACCCCATTTCCTCTCTACTCCTACTTCCCTGGGCCCTTAGGACAAAGGTCATGGGCTCTCCCCACAGTCAAGACTCTCCTCCCTCCTCACCCAGCTCATGCCTCTCAAGATACGCCCACACGTGCCACCTCGTCTCCAGAAGAAAGTGTCTGCCCCAGTCCTGCGGGGGACCGCCCACCCTGTTCTCTCTCTGGAATGTCCCCTTTTGCCTTCTTTCTCTCTTAACATCCTCCCCACCTCCTCCATCAGGCCTTCCCTACCCCCCAAGGACATGCCCACATCCTCCTGGAGGAGCTCTGTTAGCATTTTCCAGGGGAGACTTGAGCATGGCTCACGTTTTGCTTTGTGCCCAGTCTTTGTTCCCCACATTGCCCGGGAGGGCAGAACTCTCTGTCAACCCCCAGCACCAGCACGGTGGGCTCCCCTGGGCGGGGGGCAGAGGGAGGATATCTGGAGATGCAGGGGGGCACGCTGGAAAGTGGCACCCCCTCCCCCCAAAGCCCTCCTGGACCAGGTCGGGGAAGCGCATGGAGAGCCCCAAGGGTCCCTCCCTCCCTGGACTGCTTGGGACCCACTAGAGCCCAGTGTGGAGGAGGTGGGAGTGAGGGGTGAGGGAAGGGGTGCGTGGACACACGAGGGGACGCCCATGTGGATGCCCACAGTCAGGGCACACGAAATCACGGGGCTGGGGACACCGAGGCACTCACAGGCTCCTCTGCTCATAGATCTTCTCGGACTTCTTCACGGCTGCAAGAACAAGACCGGATTAGCGAGCATCCCCAAGCCGGGCTGGGAACTGAGATCCAAGGTCCCCCTCCTCTTGTCTCCCCTGTGCCCTGGGCAGGCCTCAGATGGGACGTGGGGGCCGGACCGCCCATCCCTGTGGGCCACCTCTCATGGACAGGGTGCTTGCTCACCACCTATTAGGAGAGCAGAGTGTGGAGAAGGTGGATGCTGCAGGCAGCACAGCAGCCCCCCCACCCCCGTTTTTCCAGAACATTCCCCTGCCCCAGCAAAACCAAAGCCCCACGGTGAGCCAGACCCACTGTCTTCAGGGGTGGTTTAGGGGCTTCTTCCCTGCCTTGTGAAACTTCTCCGACCGCCCTTGGACCGCAACCAGGGCTGGGGACCCCGCCCTTGTCCCCGAGCACCCCCCTACCTGGGCGGGAGCAGCGCACGCACAGGCCGGCCACAGTCCCCAGCAGCAGCAGCAGGGCCACCCCGGGCCACAGCAGCTCGCTCTCCACATTCATGTCCGCTCCTGGCCACGCGCCCTGCAGCGCTGCAATGTAGGACCCCCTGTGACCAGCCCTCTGGAGTCCCCCCCCGAGCCCCACACTGTCAGGTGTCTGTCCCCCCCGTCTCCTGACAGCCCCGCAGTGGAGCCCAGACCACGGGAGCACCACCTCCCCTCCCTGTCCGAGGACCGGGTCAGGCTGCAGCCAGCCCTGCTCCCCCATCTGACCCCAAATCCACACCCTGGGCCCCCAGGGCCATCCCCCACACTTGGTAAGTGCTAGAAGGTTCTGGGGACCCACCAGACAGCACCATGTGTACGTGTCCCAAACGTGCCTTTGCTTAATCCACACAACCACCCACGGGGGGCGGGGGGAGGCAGGGAGAGGTTCCCAACATTTCACAAACACAGAAACTGAGGCTGGGGATCCCAGCTGCGAAGGAGAAAGACAGGATTCAAACTCTGGCCTCTGGACCCTAACTCTGGCTCACCTGTTGCCTCCTGTAAACCCAGCTTTGCTCCCTGAGCTCAGTCCTCGGCCCCTTCCAGAGGAGCCCTGGCTGCCCCCATGCACCCCAGGGTGCCTCTTATCCATGGGCCCCCTGGGGGAGCTGGGAGTGGGATTTCCGTTCTTTCTTTCTTTTTTTCTTCAAAAATATTTTATTTATTTGTCAGAGAGAGAGCACAAGCAGGGGGAATGGCAGGCAGAGGGAGAAGCAGGCTCCCCACCGAGCAAGGAGCCCGATGCGGGGCTCGATCCCAGGACCCTGGGATCACGACCTGAGCTGAAGGCAGATGCTTAACCGACTGAGCCACCCAGGCGCCCCGGGGTTTCCATTCTTTAAACACCGAGGGGTTCCTGAGGGCCTACGGGGGAGAAGGGTACTCTGGGCGGAGACCTGGTGGGCTGCCCAGGGCTGGTGGAGGTGGGATGTGCTGGGAGGGGGGACTCTCTGGCGTGAGGAGGCTCCGAACCCCGCCTGGCACTGGGCCACTGCTGGGTCAGTGACTGGTCCCTGGGGTGGAGCATGCTGTGATGGCCACTCTTTGGCAAAGCCACAGGCAGCCACATACCAGGGCCTGGGCGGGGGACAAGTACAACCCTCTTGAGGGGGCTTCCGAGGAGAATCACGGCAACTAGAGAGACTCAGTCTCCTGGCGTGGCTGGGGACACAGCTGAGGGCCACAGTGGGGTCTCCGAGGGGGCCCTGCCCACACCTCTGAGCATCCCCTCTGTGCATGTTGTTTTTCCCGGCTCGGCCACCTGGGAGGAGGGCTTCTTCCCATTTTACAGCTGGGGAAGGCGAGGCTCAGGGAGAAGCTGAGCTCTGTACTGCCCAGCTCCTGTTTTGGGCTCCCCCAAGGCCTCAGCTGCACCCAGCTGTCCCCCTCACCTCTCCGAGCTTCCCGAACCCTCACGGCACAAATGACAAGGAGCCTCTGAGCAACCCTGAGCCTCCATCGGGGCTGTCCCGGAGAAGCCGCCTCTCCTTCCCCAAACACCAAGTGAGTCAGTGGAAATCTCTTGATGGGATGGCCCTGTCACCCCAGGAGGGCGTCCGTGGGGAGCCCCCTGCTCTTGGGGCCTGGGCCCTGCCTTTCCAGCCTGCACAGCCTCCTCCTTCTGCCCTCTCTGCTGTGCCTCTAGCCCAGCCCAAGGCCACTTCAGGCTGTGTGGGGTTGGAAGCACCAGGTCCTGGAGGGAGGACTCCTGCCCGTGCCTCAGGGTGTGTTGGCCTCAGTCTTCTCATCTGTAAAATGGGCATCAACCCGGTGCCTTCCTCAAAGAACTACTGGCCGATGAGAAGCAGCCTGGCTCAGTGTCCGGGCTTCCCGGAGAGAAACCTGCTAGGGCTCGTATTTCTGGCCGGCTGGTTTGGAGAACTCGCTTGTGCTCCAGAGGCCTGGCACTTGAGGCCCCAGGACCTGGCCTGCCGACCCTTGCAGCTGTCCCGGGGAAGGGCGGCCCTCCATCCCAGGGGATCCTGGCCACCAGAGAGCCCTCTTGCTTCCTGGTCCCCCGTGCTCTCCTGGGTCAAGCAGCACAGTCGGGGTGCCCCCAGCCCCGGTCCACCATATCTGCCTGGCACTGGGGGAGGGCGGGGGACGAGAACGCCGAGTGGGCCTCCGCTGTTGAAGCCTGGCATTGCTGGCCTTCCGTAGCCCCTCGGAAATGGGGAAATAAGGACACTCATCCCTTGGGTTTGTCATGAGGCCCAGCATTGAGATGATGCATGAAAGTGGGGGAGACACAGTTGCATGACTACCGTGACTTGCCATCTCAGGGTCCCTGTGGAAGGGGAAGGGGCAGCCTTTTGGGGGTGGGGGGACCAGCAGCGGACAGCGTGGAGCAACCTAACAGGGCCTCCCTGCCTGGTGCCCAGGGTACGCGAGCCTGAGCCTCCCTCCACCGCCCTACCGCCCCGCGTGCAGGCCCTCATGCCGGGACCCCCAGGGCGGGCTGGGATCTGCCCCAGCCCCTCAGTTGTCACAGACACGCTAAGTGTCATGTGGGAGATGCCAGGGAGGAGAGCGAGGCCCCGAGAGGCGGGTACTTGTCCAAGTTCATCCAACTAGCCACAGAGCCAGGATCCCCAAGCTCAGGCTGGGCTGATCCCCAAGGCCCTCCCTGCTCTTTGACTCCTGTTTTATACTACCTTTTTAAGAACCATGAAATATTTTTTAAAAGAGATCAATTTGAGGAACAGGCCGGCGGCTGCCCCTAGACTGACTACATCTGCACTCTGGCCGGGCTTTCCCAGCCAGGATCTGAGGGCAGGCGGAAGAGGGTTGGGGGAGGAGGCTGAGCCCCCAGGAGACGCAGGCCCAGCGGCCCCCGGAGGGCCCCAAGGGACAGGCAGGGCTGGGTGGGGTGGGGAGGCGAGGAGGCCACAGGCCGAAGTGCTGCAGGCCAAAATAGCACAAAGGGAAGTGCGCAGTTTTCAGATGAACAAAGTTTGCACCAGCCTGGCGGGGGGGAAGGCCCTCGGGGCTCGGCTGGGCAAGCCGGAAAGGCCCTGGGAGACCCTCCTGCCCAATCTCCCAGCCGGCCTCTGGCCCTACATGGGGAAACGGAGGCCTCCCAGGGCCACAGGGCAGGCTATGGGGTAGGAATGAGAGGTTGGTTCCGAGCCCTGGGGAGGCTTTATCTGCTGGGCTCTGCTCTGGTGCCCGTTCCGTTTTCCCGTGTCATCTTGGCCTTCAGATAAGGCCGACCCAGGGGCCTCTATGGAGGATCCTAATGCTCAGGTGGCCAGTGAGGGGGCCTGGGCAGCCCTGGTCCTGGGGCAGCGGTGGGGAATGGTGACGGCCAGGGTCAAGGAGCTCCCCAGCAGAGAGCTGGTGGGCCAGGCTGGGGCCTGGGTGGGGGGTGGCGGGAGGGCTGCTTCGGTCTGGCCTGGCCTGGGGGCAGGCCCTGGGCACCCTTGCCCGGAGAGTCTCACCCATCCTCCCGTAGCCTAGTGGCAGGGATGTTACAGTCCCATTTCACAGATGAAGAAACCAAGGCCCTTGGGTCTGGCCCCTCACCGGTCTCTGGAAGCAATGAGCCCACCCTGGAGGCTTCCCCAGGCCTGTGAAGGCTGGACAGGGGAAGACGACGGTGGGAAAGCGCCGGAGCCCCAGAAACAGGCTGCCCTCTGAGTGCCGCAGGGTCCGGGGAGAGGGCTCCCCAGCCAGGGGCGTCAGGGCGGGACTGGGGCCCAGCGAGGGAGAGCCAGCTGGCCTGGCATCTTCCCGGCCCCCCCGCCAGGGCCACCCCCCCCAACCTGAGCCCTCCTGTGGGCCCAGCAGGGCCATTCCCACCCCCGGTGGGAGGCAGCCTTAGGACCCCCTGCGCTGGGCCGGGCTTACCTGAGAGTCGGGGGCTCCTCACTGCGGCCACCTCATCCTGAGCCCGCACACCTGCCCGAGCCGACGCCACCGCCACCGAGACTGGCGGGCAGCAGGCGAGGCGGCGGGCTTCCTGTCAGCCCCCGAATCAGCCCTCGCACATCCGCTGCTCGGCCGGACCGGCCCTGCCGCGAACAGCCGGGGACCCGGAGATGCTCGCAGAGACAGGGAGAGGCACTGAGCGACAGACACGAACACAGGCTCGGAGAGGCCAGAGACACGGACGGACACACACTGCATACATGCACGTGACCCCAAGTCACACAAAGAGGAAGAGACACACAGAGGGACGGGGAGCAAGAGAACGAAGTCGGGTGCTCACACGGACACACACACACACACACACACACACGGGCAGCCTGCGGTGGGGGGGGTAGGAAGACATGGAGAGACACACACGCACACCCAGGGAGGGAGAGGACCAGAGACAAACAGACACACACACACAGAGGGAGAGGCTGAGTCACAGACAGACAGACACACTCACAGACATCCGTGCGCTCTCCCACGGAACACGGGGCAGAGGGATGCAGGCAGGTGCGCACCGGGGCAGGCCGAACAAGGAAGCAGGACAGGGAGGCAAGGTGAAGGGCAGAAGGGGGAACGATCTACGAGCCATGGTTCCCCCCTGTCCCCCTCCCCCTCAGTTCCCAGAGGCCCCCTCCCGCAGCTGTTGCTCCTACTGTCACCAGCTCCTGGGGGGGCCCATAAACATACGGGGTGCTTCCGTGCCTCCTGTTACTGGGCATTAAGTGACTGGCCCAAGGCCATCAAACTCCTGGTGGCACCTCCACTCCCAGGAGACCCCAGGGAAACCCCCATCAGTCTGGCACTTCAGAACTGGGGCTTCCTGGTCCCAGGGGCCCCTCTGGGCAGGAGACTGGGTTTCTCTTTCAGCCCCAGGGGCCCCTCTGGGCCAGAGAACTGGGTTTCTCTTTCAGCCTGTCTGGGGTGGCCAGGGCTGAGACAGGAGGCCCAGCCCCGAAGGCACAGTGGGCCAGGGCTGCCCGCGGCTGCCACCCCGTGGGGAAGAAGGGTAGCGCGCCAGCCGGGCCTCGAAGTCGGAGATCCTGTGGGCCTTGCCGCCAGGAGCTGGTCCCCATCCCCAGGCACGGTCAAGCTGTCTGACTCCCAGACCTGGGCCTGTGTGGACACCACCACACTCCCTTGGGCTGGGCAATGCTGCATTCAGTTCCCTTGGTAACCGGCCCCTTGGATGTCACTTACACAGGTGAGAAGACTGGAGGCCCATGGAAGCTATGCTGGATTTGAACCCAAAGTCTCCAGTCTGTTGTCTTCCCAGCACCCACAGGGAGGTCGGTGGGGGCGCACCAGCAGCCCTCCTTGCTGGGACCACCTGCCTGACCCCCACTCGCACGACCGGGCCGGGCCGGGGTTGGTGTCCGTTGATCCCTGGACTGTGCACCTGCCTGGGGGTTTCCAGTAGGCAGAGACCAACAGAGCCTCCCCCCGCCCGATGGGAAGGAGCTGTCCTACACCTGGCTTCTGTCTTGGGCCTTGGCAATGGCAGAAGTGACCTCCGACCATTGGCGAAGTCTCCAGGTCAATCTGCAGCGGGACCTAGGCGCCCTCAGACCCTCTCTGAGCCCATTTCCCATCTGCAATAATGGGGGTTGGTCAACCCAAGGACCCTTTTTGTACTTGAGTGTGAAAAAAGGATGCCGTCCCCCTTGTAGGCAATTTTCAAAGTCCTCCAAGGTTCTATTTTATTTATAAACCATTGGGTTGTGACTCAGAAAATAAGCTTTGAAAAACTACAGTTTCATGTCCAGTTGCGTCAATTCTAGTGTACTTAAGGTTAAAAAAAAAATTTTTTTTTATAATTCAACAGTTTTTGTGTATTACAAGTTCCTCATGACCATTTAAACCACTTTTAAGTGTGTGATTCAGTAGCATTACATTCACAACACTGTACAACCATCACCACGATCCATCCCCAAACCTTCATCATCACTCCAGACACCTGGCTTTTTTCAGTTCACTGAGTGCGTGCTGTGTGCACATCCGTGACCCAATGAAGATACCCAGGTAACAGTGCGACAGCTCTAAAAACAATTCCAAGCTGAGAATCTTCTGGGGTCATACATATCCTAAAGTCTGATGGGAAGCTATGCATTTCCTTCAGAAAAATCACCTGGAGAAGTGTGTACGACATTCTAGAAGCCCCTGGAGCCCGCATATGTCATCTGCCACCCCCCATGTCTTAAGGTGCAAATGAGCCTCCCTTCCACCCCCTCCCTCCCCAGCCGGTTCTAACATTTATCTTGGTTGTGAACTCACTACCCAAAGGAACCCAGAGTATCCTCATCTTTCTGCCTCCCCCAACCTCAGGACCTGCTTCTTTTGCTTTGCCCTCTATGTGTATGTAGATTTCTAAAGTGTTCTGTATTCAATAAAAGTACCATGCTGTCTGTCAGCACTTGGGCTTATTTTCCATCTACTGCGTTGTGATCCAATGCCGTGTGCCTTTCGCTCATTCCGTCATCTGAATACAGCTTTTGCTGCTCTTGTGAATGTTCTTTCTCTGGGGCATGTACCCAGGAGGGGAACCACTGGGCTACAGAACATGGACACATGCCATTTTCAAGTTAAGTCCCCAAGTGTAGTTCCCACTTACACGCTCCTCTAAGACACGAGACCCACAAACTCTCTAGCAACTGGTCTGTTGGGTCGTGATGTCTGCCATTTGAACGGGCGTGCGGTAGTTATTTTTTTCTCTTTGTGATCTTGTGCTAGCAGGACTGCTAGTGAGGCAGAATATCATTCTTCATCCTCATTTTGATAGAGTACTTAAAAAAAGGATCTAGTGAGTGCACTCTTAATTTCAAGAGCCTAATGCACATGAGCAAGACCTCTACCAATTCCAAGGCATCTTGGTGTTATTTACAGAATCCCTGGGCTACCTGAAAAGCTTCTCTCGTTTCTCTCCCTCCCTATCCCATTCAGAAAGATAAGCTTCTGGGCCACTAATGATTTCACGAACGTTTACCTTGCTTCCGACAGTCAACAAAAGAACAGGTACAGGAAACAGCTCTCTGTAGGGCTCAAATGGAATACCAAAGAGCCCGCCATTGTGAAATCGTGTGCTTTTATTTGTATATTTGGTATTTTACACCTACAGGGGGGTTACGGAGGGGGGATGAGATGAGTAGTAGGTTATAGTTAAGTACATTATTTCGATTCATGTTCATGGCAAAAAACTGCCTCTATGATGTGTGGATTTAGAAGCCTCTGAACCTCATGTAAGCATCAAACCTCTCACCGCGGTTGTTAAAGATTGGCCAGGAACACACAAGAGACAGAGCAAAGGGCTCACCCAAAGGGCAGACGCGGCCAGGCAAGGGAAGCACCAGGAGCCCTGCCCAACCAAACTACCAGCCACACAGTCTCCCTGCAGCCAGGGGCTGTTTCATGGCCCTGCATGCGGGGCAAACCGGGTCTGGGGAGCATAGGGCAAGACAGCCACCTCGGACACACCGAGGATCGCTTACAAGGCCCGGGATGGGACACTCTGTCTGCCTCCCCTCCTGACTTCCCAGAAAGAGCGCTGGTGAGAATTCCGCGGGGCAAGCATGGAGTAGTGGCTGGTGGCTGGCATGGACTGCCTGGCCCATCCTCTGCGAGACCAAGGAGACCCACGCACAGCACTGGGCCTAGCAGGTCCCACTGCCGGTATCACTCGGAGAACAGACCTTGCACAGGCTAGTGGCCCTGCGTGACCCCAGCAGCCGGGCGGAATCTGAGAAGAGGACAGAGGGAAACAACGGAGTATTTAAAGTACTCCTCGTGAAAAGAGCCAATAGTAAATAAGGCTTTAAAGAAACGAATGGGGGCGCCTGCCTGGCTCACTTAGTGGAACGTGCGATTCTTGATCCCAGGGTCGTAAGTTCGAGCCCCTGGTTGGGCGTAGAGTTTACTTAATATAAAGAAACAAGCAGATGCAAGAACCCCTAGGGGCCGCAGAGCGCCATCTCACTGCCCGTACAGCAAAGAGATGCTGTTTCTAGTAAGTCTCAAGCAGGAACTGCTTTATAGGCTGTTGGTAACTGGCTCTTCCTTTTCTCAACAAATTGCTCGACCAAGTAACCTCCTTCAACCAGAAAGCCAGGCCATTCCTTAGAGATCCTGACTTGAGCGCGGAGGCCAGGCAACAATCCCAGCACCCTCCTCCGTGACCCAAACGCACTCCTCCTGACCTCTTTCTGCCTCCTCCTAAGACCTCCCTGAAGAAACAAAGCTATTTCGGTCAGGATGGGAAACCCCGGCTTCTGGAAGTTGGCTGTGCAAACTTCTCCTCTCCTGGAACCTGGAGAGACAATCTGGCCCCTGACAAGATGGGCTCCGAGGTAAAAACATTCTCAGAAACCTGAGCCCCTTAAAAAAAAAAAAAGAAAAGAAACCTGAGCCCCTTATTAAAAGGGCTCCATTTGGCACTCCATTAGATTTGGTTTCTCTGAAGGCAGTTCAAGAATAGCAGGGACAAAAAAACCCAGAAACCAGGCATCAACTATCTAAACCTATCTCTGGAACATTCATAGTGGGTGCAAACTTTTAGGAAAATGAACCTATTTATTTAGGCGCTTATCTGGGCAAAGATGTGCTCTCCTCTCTTAATTCAGTTACTTATGATGGGAGGCAGGTATTAGGATGCCTTCTGTAATATTTAGCATTGCACAAACACTACGGCCCAAGTAAAGATGTGCAGGGAGAGGGAGGAAGACAGCCGAGCAAGAGTGGCGTTTCAATCCCGAGAAACCTCTGGAGACCCAGATGACCCCTCCAAGGGTCTGAACACGCCACAGGTCCTTCAAAGGTGGGATCCAAGAGACCTTTGAAAAGAAGCTTCACTGAGTTGGACTTCAAGCTTCTGGCCACCAGCCCGACTCCACGTAGGGCAGAGAGTTTTCGGTCTCAGACCCTCTCCCTTAAAGGAAACACCAGCAGGCACCAAGTCCTCTCCTCCAGGCTCGGTAGGGGAGCGGTCCAAGTGAACAGCCATGCGTGCTCTCACCAGAATAGCGCCTGCCCTCCCCACCCTCCCCCTGCAGGGTAAGCCGCAATCAAGGCTCACCTCCCAGTAAGCAAATCCCTCACTGTGCCAGGTCCTCCGCCACCACCGTCCCCGCCAGCTGGGCCTCTCCCAGACACGGCAAAGCCCTGTACCTTGTCTGCTGGGCCACAGAACTGCCCAGCAGTGCCTCCCGACAACACATGATCTACTTGCCATGAAGGAGCACCCACCACTGTCCCCAAGAGCACCTGGATTTCTGCTAAAAATAAGCAGTTATTAAAAGCACGCACACCTTTCATTCTAGGGGGAAAGTGCCTTTAAAACCCAAACACGGGGCGCCTGGGTGGCTCAGTCGTTAAGCATCTTCCTTCGGCTCAGGTCACGATCCCAGGATCCTGGGATCGAGCCCCGCATCAGGCTCCCTGCTCCACAGGAAGCCTGCTTCTCCTTCTCCCACTCCCCCTGCTTGTGTTCCCTCTCTCGCTGTCAAAAACAACAAAACAAAACAAAAAAAACCCCAAACACTATGGCCCCACACCTGTGTACGCAAGGTCTGTTTAGAAAATCACATTTTTAGGAAACGAGAGAAAAAAAGGCAGGAAGACCCCGGCATGCTGTTTCTAATCATCACTGGCTCTGAAAATAATTTCACGAGGCCTGTAAGTTCCAGAAGCAAGATGCTTGTCTCACTGCAGCTGTAGGCCTTTCTGGGAGATTCGAGTGCTGCTTCCCAACTTTAAGATTGCACAATTTCAAGTGAGGGCAGCTAAAAAAGAACTCAAAAATAAGGACAAGCATTAAATATTACGTAAGGTTTTCTTTTATTTAAAAGATCATTCACAAAATACCGTATCCATAGATTTCCTTTCTGTCATATAGGTGAATGTGTGAAGTGTTTGGAATTCCATTCTTACGTTTAAAAGTCAACTGGATGGCCCAGAAGTTTAGATGCATTTGTTTTGTTCTTAATCTTTCCCCCACTGAAGATGTAAGTAGGTCATCTGAAAGCATCAGGTTTGATTACAACCACATAATGCATGTCTTTCTTAAGTTAAGTATTGGTGTCACACAAATGGTTCTTATTTCAGAAGCAGAGGTAGCAGGGGAAGGAAGGAGAGGAGACAGAGTTCTGTAACTGCTGAGACCCTGGGACAGAGAGCCGGGGAGGCCGGCCAGGGACGAGCAATGACTGCATGCGGCACTGCCCAGGCCGGGCCGCACCCCGCAGACCCTCCCACGCACGGGGCTCTCCTCCCTGCGGCCGGAGCGGGGCGCAGTGCGGCAAAACCAAGTTGTTCACACCCGGGTGTTCCAGCTCAGAAGGCTCGGCCCGGCAACCCCCCCCACCCCGCCCCCGGGAAGCGCCGATCGCGATGTGTGGCAACGAGCAGCTCTGCCCAAAGAGGAGACCCAGTGACTGACAGCCACCTGCCAGCTATCTGGAGGTCCCTGACAGCTCTGCACGGTAAAATCCTCAATTCATCAAGCGAAACAGTAAAGTGCCAGGTTGTAGGCCCATTTTCATTATAAAATCCAGGGAAGGTGGGAAGCACAGTAGCTCACTGTTACTCATACCAAGGAACAGAGAGAGAAACCCAAGGGACAGATGTGGGATCCACACACAGCAGGGACTGGGGGAGCGGCCGCGTCCACGCAGTTGGGGCAGCCTGGGCGCGGCTCTGCCACCACCGCCCTTCAGTCCCCCCCAGAGCACCCTGGCTGGCAGAAAGGAGACCAGACGGAGGCTTTCTGCACCCAGCAGCCCAGAGGCGCCTCCACCACGGGCAGGGAGGAGGGAACCAGCCTGCGCGAGGTGTTGAAAGAGCGACACTAGTGGGTGTGAACACAGCGGTGTGCTCAGCTGGTCTTCTCCGACACTTCACACTACTACCCCCTTCTTTCGGGTTCCACGTTTGAAATGAGAGCCTCTCCTGCTTGAATAATCCATTCGGGGCGGGGGTAGCAGAGACAGGGCTGTTTATAAATAGGGACAGGAAGGAATCGGCAAGGATCAACAGATATCTTACCCTTGCTTTGAAAACAAGGTGCCTCAAATTCTGTATGTTGATCACAGTGGAGTAAAAACAAGATGCTATCCAATTTGTGACTTCTTTCCCATTTTCTTCCCGCCCCCCCCTTTCTTCTTTTCCCTCCCTTGGAAGCCACAGCAATACAGAACTCAACATGCAGGTTGGAAGAGAAGTGCTGAGAAAAATCAAAGAAACAACTGGGTCTGGCCAGTGCGTCTAAAGTAAAGAGAGAAAGCGAAGGAGAAAAATGGAGCAGCACCTCCATCCAAAGAACGCCCATAGGTGGCTGCCTTTGTCCCTCGGGAGACACTCATGTACTGGAAGGAAACAAGGAGCAGGAAGGAGAAAGGACAGAAGGAAAAAGGGGAAGGAGTGGCAGGGGAAAAAAAAAAAAAAAGCACGAGACAGGCACTAGATAGGTTCAGCAAAGCCAAGAATGTACTAAAAACCACTTGTTAACTGCTGACATGCGCTCACAAGCTCTGTGTTTCCGTTGTAAGAAAGGAGGACAAAGGTCAGGCGCAGGAATGGTGGCTGCAGGACCACCGGCCCAGGGGGCTGGCCAGGCTGTGGTCTCGCGCTAACTCCCCCACACCCCATTCCCTCCCAACCGCAAGCTCATTCTTGCTCCTTCTGAACGACTTCCTCTCTGGGCCTGGCTCCCCCGAAGATGGCAGAGTTGGGATTGGCTACTTGATTGAGGGGCGTTGCAACTGTTCGAGGCTTCAGCTGGAGCCGTGGCCTCTGTGCTCTTTCCTCTGCGGGAGAAAAACCAGTGTGGTTTATAAAGAATGGACCCCCTTCCCCATCCGGGTGAAATGACCAAACTGATGGCGGCCCCTGTAACCCAGCCCGCTTTCTAACTAGCAAGCTGGCCTCGAAGACCTACCCCACCCCCAAACACTCTAACAAAGGTAAACATCCTAGTTAAGACTAAGGGGTGGTCCACAGCAGCCACTGTCCAGGGCACGAGAAGGCATGGGGGGTGGGTACAGCTGGCGGACCAGGACAGGACACCCTGCAGTGAGAAAGTAGTGCCATACCTTCTGTTGGTTCTCTGAAGTCCATATTGGATCCTCGAAGGGGAGGGCCATCTCTGAACCGACTCCCCATTGGGGGGCCTGTTCGCCGGTCACCGGGGCGACTCCCTCCCCTGCCTCCTAAGAAGTCATCCCTGAAGCCTGAAGAAGGAAGAGGACACTGGATTACTTTTTAAGCCACTGTCTCAAAGCTGACCATGCAGCCGGTGTAGACAGTTTGATCTGAAATTCTTCAGTTCGTCCGACATCGGAAGCTTTTGCGAAATCAAGTGCACTGCAGGGAGTCCAATGTGAATGTGCTGGGTAATCTCAGTTATAACAGACTTTTAACATTTCTTAGGAAAGAAAAATAAAATGAGCCGTTTAAACTTTGCAGAAAAAGGGAGGAGGAAAACATTACATAAGACTAGAATAAGGCTTGTTTACAACAAAACAAAAATCCTCAAAGCCCATTTTATTCCATCTCCTAATATAAACCTCTAATTATTAAAAGGATAAACCTGAAATTGAAAAGTTCCAGCAAAACCTAACAGAAAACCAGACATGACGACAAAATAAAAACACGACGCCACCTCTGGGTGACACCCCCCGTCTGTGTCTCTGCTGGGTCTCAGGTGTGGGTCTAAGAGTCAAGCACCCGTGTGTACGTGGCTGGGCTCACTCCCTTCGGGGGTGGGGGGGCACGCCTCACCCCCAACCCGCATCACCTCTTCCACTGTGAAGGAGAGGAAGGGCTTTCTCCCCGTTCCTAGGGCCCCTGCTAAAACCGTTACCAGAGTAAACTGCGCCTCATCACGAGTGCTGAAGAGTGTGACGATGCTCGTCTGGGTGGTGAAGATGATTTTCTCCATGGGCTTTAATTTAAGAACCTTAAGTTTTTTTTAGTTTTGTATTTCACTGAAAAGACTTCCATTTAGAGGGGGTTCAAGCCTTTTAACAGTACAGACCATTGAAGTGAGAGTTTACTCTTAGAAAAAATTTAAGAAATAAAATTGTAGTCAAACAAATGAGCCTGCCCCCTCTCAGCCCCCAAAGGTGGCTGGCTACTTTTACTCCAAGGATGGTGCCATCGCTCAAAGCTCCAGAGGAATCTATCTTTAAGAAGAATCCCGAGCCCACGGAATACTTTTATGTGATCTGACCCCCATTACTCACAGATTTCCTATCTGCCAATTTTGTCTACTCGCCAGCATCTCTACGTGACCCTAAAATCAGTACTTTTAGCACATCTGCTTTTCCAGACATGCACAGAGCAGCGGAAGACGGGAGTCGCCTGACATGCGTGTTTTGCAGCTAAGGTTGAACGAAGCAACACTCAGCTTCTTGTTTCAGCTCAGACTGAGTGTCTTTTCAATCTATTAGGTGCCAGGTTTTTTGCTTTTGTGCTTTTCCTTGGCGACTGCACTGTTTAAAATGGCCCCAGAACGGAGCACTGAAGAGTCGCCAGGTCTTCCTAAGTGCAAGGCGGTCCTGTACCTTATCCAGGAAACGCGCATTAGTTAAGCTCCATCCGGGTCTAGTGCAGTTGGTCCTGAGTTTCCGGTCAGCTGAATCAACAGTATACATGAAATAGTGTCTTTATAACAGAAATCCACCCAAGAAGGTATGTACTGATCGGCTGACAAAAACGTGACCAGAGACTCACAAGACTCTGACCTTGCTGTTTCCCCCTAGGAGCAATGGTTTGTGGTGTCTGCTCATCTGGTGTTCTCAGTGCTTTTAAACTTAACTCCCTTGAATATGGAGAATGCGCTCTGTTTGCAAGGGTGGTATTTTTCTGTTCTTCAAGGGTGGCCAAAGAATTTGGGAAGAGATCAAGTTATCTGAAACCCAGCTCAGAAATGGAGCTGGACAATACCGATTTTAACAAAACAAGTAATGAAAACAATTTCAAAAAGATCCAGGCCAAGAGAAGCACACAGTTGGGGAAAACACACTGGGAGGCATACAGTCGGGTGTAAGGTTCTTTACAGAATCTTTTGAACCAGAGCCCACACCGTTCGTTAAATGAGCTTAACTGGTATTCAAACATTTAACCTGACATTTTCCCCCAATAAACTAAGAAGTGTACTTTTCCATGTGGGTATAGAAGTTACTTCCCCAAGCGAATAATTCTTGCTACCAGTGTGTAACATAGATCAGCTCACACTCACACTGACAAGGCAGATAAACACAGCTGCTGCCCTGTCCAGGTGCACAACGCAGAGTTTGGTGGAGGAAAAAAACAGTGCACATTAATAGCAAGTGACAACCTCATTGCGAAATCTCTTATGAGCGGAGCAGGGGAAGATGATGAGGGAAAAGCAAGGTCTGAGACTTTTTAGGAGGCACAGCATTCATGAGAACCTTCTAAGGTTTTTTGTTTTTTGGGTTCTTTTGGTCATTTTTTCACAAAGTTTAGTTTAACAAACACAGGCTACTTCTGGTGGTGGGACTTTATTTGCTTTCTTTGTATTTTTTGTTGCTGCTTGAGTCTTTTTTTTTTATAATGAGTGTGTATCACTTTAAGAATAGCATCATTCTTTTAAAGAGCAAAAAAGATCTATTTTCACAAATAATGTATATAGGCATTAACCCCACCACGTGGGCACTTGTGATTTTAGAAACCACCAAAATCCTGCAGGGGACACCGGAACTGGCAGGAGTCGAGGGAGCCTCTGGCTGTGTGCTCAGCTCCGGAGAGTAAAAGCCCAAGTAAGGCAACCGCTCCTCAGGTTACTTCCACATTTCCAGAGCTGTAAGCTCAAGGGCCATTCCTCCAGTACCGGGAATTCAAAACTGGCAGGTCCGAGACCGCCACTCCTCAGGCCGCTAACAGCTGCACCTGGACTGACTCTGAGAAGACATCTGTTGCATGTTTCAATCAGAGACCAGCTTATACATAAAATTACAGGTTTACTGGATCATACTGTACTTTTATGAATAAGCTCATTTCTGATTGGCTATAGGACTCTAAGGAACTGAGTTATTCAACAGACATAAGCAGTCATCTGTTTAGCTAAATAGGACTGAAAAGAGTTTTTAAGAATTTTGGTCTACAACAGCTTGTCCTACTTCCCATACTTACCAAATACTTTATGCTGAGTTTGGTTTGATGGGGGGAGGGTGACAGGGTGGGTGGGGCTGCTGATGGTATCGTCTTATACAATATGGAGGAGAGTGCAGAGTTCATAGGAAAGATAACAGACTTGTTTTTCATGGTTTTACCTTTCTGTTACAATGGCCATTTTTGTAACATATATGAACTACTTTTACTTAAAAAACAACAACAACAAAAAACCCAAACGAAACAACAACAAAAAAACAACGTAAAGAGTTGAAGAACTGTTTAGGAGATCAACCCTTCAAAGCAGAGGCCTGACATGCAAACTGACCCCCGAGGTGAGACAGGGAGGCACCTGACAGGCTGCCTTGGTCAGTTAAGAAAAGGAACAGTAAAGTGCATCATGTCCACCATGAAGGGATAGGAGTTCCATGCCCTTCAAGAAAGAAACCCTGGGGGGCGCCTGGGGGGCTGAGTCGTTAAGCGTCTGCCTTGGGCTCAGGTCATGATCCCAGGGTCCTGGGATCGAGCCCCGCATGGGGCTCCCTGCTTCTCCCTCTCCCACTCCTCCTGCTTGTGTTCCCTCCCTTGCTGCGTTTTCTCTCTGTCAAATAAATATGGAAAATCTTAAAAAAAAAAAAAAAGAAAGAAAGAAAGAAAGAAAGAAACCCTGGTCACCAGGACTTCAACCATGCAAGAGGGAGCCACCAAGAACCACAGTGATGAGGCTTTTTGTAAGCTTCCAAAACCTCCACGCTATTTCTAGAAGTAGCGGTGCGTCCACGTGTACCATGCACACCAGCGCCGCCAAGGGGTTCCTGAGCTCAAGGCCCAGATGAGAACTGTAGGCCGAGGCAAGGGAAGACAAGATGGTGGATGAGCCTACCTTGCCCACAGTAGGGAGCCCCTCAAGTCCTACCCCAAACACTCAGGTCCCAACAGAGGCTTAGTGCATGCCTGGGGACCTTCCAGGACAGTTTCATCTGTGCAATGAGCTAAAGGAGCGGTCCGGCCAGGCTACTCACAACAAACGGACAACAGCACCAAGGCCACTGAAAAAGGTTAAGTGGCAATATTTTAAATGCTGATCCCGGAATTGAAGTCATCCCGGGAATCCCATCCACCTCTAGATTCTCCAGGGCCACCCATTCCTGAGGATACACAAAAAAGATAAAGTTGAGGTCGTACCATTACCTTGCTGCACAAACATGGAAAAATTCATTGGAAAGATGGACAACTCATGAGAAGTTCACAGGAATCGTTAAGAGTTCTTGCTGCCAATAGAAAAAACAAAACAAAAAAAACCCCAAACCAAACAAAAAAAACCCAGGCTTACAGAAGCACTATCCATTCTCTCTCAAGATTTTTACATGTGTTTTAAAAGCTCACAAAAACCTATCAGACCTGTGAGACAGTTCTACTAATAACCTTCGAAGAGTTGTAATTAGTGGGCGTACAGCAAATTTTATGTTCAGTTTTAGAAGAACCAATCACCTCTGTCATCTGGTCCACCTTTCCTGAATCCAAAGCCACCTTTATCTTGTTTTCTGCCTTCTGCAATGTCCACACGAAGTGACCGATCACCCAACAGCTAATGATAAGGGGAAAATAGTGTAAGTATTGGCAAGAAAAAAACATCTCAACTTCTAACATGACACAGAAAACCTGAAGATACTTACTGCACCATCGTATGTCAAGGCTTCCTTAAGTGAATCCACCTCATCAAATTCTACATAGCAGAATCCTGTAAGAGAAACAAACCCCAATTTCCTCAAGGAATTCTGGGTTAAGACACGGTGGGATCCCTGTCTGGTCCATTTTCCCACTCTTGTTGCATCTAGGGTATAGTAGACTAGTAGAGCCTAAGAGAGAGACTGTATTTTGTGATAAATAGAAAAGACCTGACTGGCATTCCTTCCTCTCAATTATACTCTGTCAGAATGTGCCAAATAGGCATTGAAATATTTGGCAGCTGTGTTTTTATAAAGCTTTCTTTTTATGAGTTTTAACCATAATATTAAAACCTTTTCTGGGTCATTGTGAAGAGCTGTTAGTTCTGACTTTTGAATAACTTTAATATAACCCAACTGGGGCTTTAAGACACAGATTTCAAATTCAGTACCAAACATGCTTTGAAGGAACCGGCTGAAAGTGCCTACTACTTACTACTCAGATAGCTGGTATAAAATCTGCTTTATAAAGCTAAAAAATACACCCTCAGTAACAAGAGCATCCTCCTTGGGAGGCTAATTAAAAGACAAATAGCCTAGGCCCAAGCACATGTTACCGACAACCTGTGTCCCTGATGCTGGATTCTGACACAGGCTTGCAAACGGGAGAACATTCCAGAGGCAGAGGAAACCACACCTTCTCTCACCTCCAACCTCTGCGTTAGCTTCTCCCTCTACCTCCAACACTCTTTCCACACCCCTTCCTTGCCGCCTGGAGACCAAATCTGGGTTAAGCACTCCCCCTGCCCAGATATGCTTACACCGCACCCTGTATTACACTCTTCCACCCCGCATATCCCCATCCTGTGTGGTGATTACACTTCACCTTCAAAGCCCACTAGACCGCAAGTGCTCCGAAGGCTTGGGTCCAAACTTGTCCTGTTCACCATCTGCTCACCAACTACTTACAAAAAGAACGCACTGCTTGGCTGGAAAGCCCCCACCTTCCCCACTAAGTGGATTCAATGTCTAGAGTATTTGAGGAAACCACCCTGCAGGTTCAAAGAGGCCAACAAAAGCCCACTCACCCACCTCACCCTTCAGAGCTGCCGAAACTGAGGATGACCCTCTAGGACATAAATTAAAACTTGCTTCTACGGACTCAGCCCAAAGGCTGCCCCACCCCCCCAATTTCCCCTGAAGCCTGGAACTCCTGGTGCCTCAAGCAGGGACACTGGGTGGGCCTTACTTTCACAAGCTGAACGGATATGTTTGTTTTCATTGTTTGGGCACTTATTATAACAAGGCTTTAGGTTCTAAAGCCAAAAAACTTTCACAGTGAGAAAAGTACCACCTATACACAGAACTGTTCAGATGAGCGAAACCTTGGCTTCTCATACCTCTCCCTCACCGGACGTCACTCTGAACTTTTCCTGGATGTGCTTCTGGATAAATAATGTAAACCAAATGCTCTTGTACCTTGCACCATGCCCTCAGAAAGGGAACACACTTCCCCTCAGGGAATCTTGAAAGCCAGGAGATAAAGCTGGCAGGATTCTTCTTTCTTAGGCTTCCCTGCTCAAGTGCCCTAAAGAGACTAATCTACAGACACTAACTTTATCTGAAATTTGAGCCAATCCTCTCCCCCACACACTCTAAAGTCACCAAGGTATAGTGACAATATGTATTAGGTTCTCTTTTGAATTCTATACAAATACCTAGATTACAGGAAAACAAAGAAAAATGCCAGGAGTCGGGCCAAGGTGAAATGCACCTGCAAAGTCCTCCGTTTTATCTGTTCATTTCTCTCCCAGGGAACTCCCTGACTGGCACAGACAGGATAGATGGGTCAGGCAAACAGCAGACTGACTTGGGCATATTTATACTGCATATTTCTACAAATTAGATCATGTGTAAAACATTTTCCCCCAAGTAGAACCGAAAGCCTATGGGTTAAAGGGCCATGTTTATTTCAGCTACTTGGACAGACAAATATTTAAAACACTTTCATAACTGGAGCCTTCTGGTTCCCTAACATTTTGGTTTCGACCCTCCCTCTACAATAATACACAGTAAGAATTCTCCCAAACTCACCTTTAAATTTGTCTGTGTCTTTGTCTCTGACTAGCCGTACACTCCTTATGCTGAGATCCTTAAAGATAGCATCTATGTCGCCCTGAACTGTATTAAAAGGTAGATTTCCTACATATGCCGTGTAGGGGGGCTCTGTGGGCAGCTCCTTCTGGCTGCGGGAACCATGGCCACCAGCACTGCCGCGGGACCTGGAGGGGAAACAGACAGGATTCAAGTCTACTCGCCCTAGAGCAGAGACGAGGAAAATGTCTTCCGCTCAGCCACACCACCCATGTGTTACTCCACTTGAATGTATGATAACATCTTGAAATTATCAAGAGTATTCTAAAATATCATTCATGACCAGGGTAGGGTGCCTATTTTTTGGTGACAGAAATGTCCACGGAAACACAGAATCGATGTAAACATACATTTCCCTTGCAACTCAAATCCAAACAGAACATACCCTCCTTGTACAGCTGGTTACCTATTTACGTAGACTCCGTATCTGCAAAATGTTTATATCCTAAAACCTTAACAAACACCCTCCCCCTCATGCCTGGTCATCCTCATACATGCCGAAATGGACTATCCAGAGTTAGCACACTGTATTCAGGAAGGCCTTCTAAAGCTGCTGAAGTTAACCCATTCATAACACACCTGCTTCTTGCTAATACGAATGCTCTAATAAAAATTTTAGATTTTGTACAGCAAGTGCTATGTACGTACTACTCTCCATCACTCCCCATGCACAACTTCACCTGTCCTCAAATGCGTATTACAAATCCACTTAAACCACAATGCCAAGTCCTCCCGGTAACAAGAGGTGGTTATGTGTCTACGGTTACGGGGCTCAAAAGTGGCAAAGGCAGGACCTTGACTCTACCACATCTCATTGCTAATATGTAGAGGTTCTGGTTTGAATTCCAGCTCAGCTGCAAACTTACTCCACCATACGACCTTGAGGAGTTACCCAATTTCTCTAAGCTTTATTTATTTGTAAAACTGGGTTAATAAACACAGAGCTTGAGCTACTGAGAAGGCGCCTAATACACGGACACACAGTACACCTGGGTGGAGTAACAATTACCAGTATCATCACACTTACAATCGAGGCTCAAAATGTTTTAGAGATAATTAAGAAATAATTTGGGGCCATTGTATATTTGTCAAAATCCACAGAATGGGGCGCCTGGGTGGCTCAGTTGGTTGGGCGACTGCCTTCAGCTCAGGTCATGATCCTGGAGTCCCTGGATCGAGTCCCACATCGGGCTTCCTGCTCGGCAGGGAGTCTGCTTCTCCCTCTCCCACTCCCCCTGCTTGTGTTCCTGCTCTCGCTATCTCTCTCTGTCAAATAAATAAAATCTTTAAAAAAAGAAAAAAAATCATTAAAGACAGGGGTGCCTGGGTGGCTCAGTGGTTAAGTGTCTGCCTTTGGTTCAGGTCATGATCCCGGGGTCCTGGGATCGAGCCCCGCATCGGGCTCCCTGCTTGGCGGGAAGCCTGCTTCTCCCTCCTCCACTCCCCCTGCTTGTGTTCCCTCTCTTGCTGCCTCTCTCTTTCTCTAATAAAAAATAAATAAAATCTTTAAAAAAATCACGGAAGACAAAAAAGGCGGGGGGACCAATGAAACACGACAACCAATGCCACATGTCACCTTTGATCCTGGAACAAACAGCTATGAAAGAAAAAGCACATGGAGAACTTTGAATATGGCATGTACAGCTATCACTTCATCAGCCTTCGATTTCTGAGGAGTGGTAACTGTACCGCGGTTGGAATGGCCCTGTTCTTAGGAGTGGCCCAGAGGGTTCAGCATAAAGGACGTGGTTGCAGGCACCCCTAAAGATAAAGCAAACATGAACCTTGTGACTCTAAAGTGTCCACTGTGGATCTGAAAATGTGCACAGTGTTTGCAGAACACAGGAAGAAAATAAATTCAAAAGAGGGAGGTGGTGCTTCTTTTTATGGAGACATTTAAAACTCATTTTAAAGGAGTCTCCTCACAACAAAGATCTGCTCAAAGTCGTCCTTTTTGCAGGGCAAGCATCAATACACGTCACAGAAAGTAACTTAGCTCTTGATCCATATTTTGCTAGAAATATCATGAAAGAGATTCCCCATCTTTCCTGGGATAAATATCATTCTTTAAGACACATTTTTAGCAGAAGAACCAAATCATGACCTAATTCTTAGATGGCTGTATTTTTTTAAGTTTAGTGACTCAGAATTCTCCTTCCAGGAAGCAAGGGCAAAAATGAACTATTGGGACTTCATCAAGATAAAAAGCTTTTGCACAGCAAAGGAAACAGTCAACAAAACCAAAAGACAACTGACAGAATGGGAGAAGATATTTGCAAATGACATATCAGATAAAGGGCTAGTATCCAGAATCTATGACGAACTTATCAAACTCAACACCCAAAGAACAAAGAATCCAATCAAGAAATGGGCAGAAAACATGAACAGACGTTTTTCTAAAGAAACATCCAAATGGCCAACAGACACATGAAAAAGTGTTCAACATCGCTCAGCATCAGGGAAATCCAAATCAAAACCTCAATGAGATACCACCTCACACCAGTCAGAATGGCTAAAATTAACAAGTCCGGAAACAACAGATGTTGGTGAGGATGTGGAGAAAGGGGAACCCTCCTACACTGTTGGTGGGAATGCAAGCTGGTGCAGCCACTCTGGAAAACAGTATGGAGGTTCCTCAGAAAGTTGAAAATAGAGCTACCATACGACCTAGCAATTGCACTACTGGGTATTTAGCTCAAAGATACAAATGTAGTGATCCGAAGGGGTACGTGCACCCCAATGTTTATAGCAGCAATGTCCCTAATAGCCAAACTACGGAAAGAGCCAAGATGTCCATCAACAGATGAATGGATAAAGAAGATGTGGTGTATATATATACAATGGAATATTATGCAGCCATCAAAAAAAAAAAACCCCAAATCTTGCCATTTGCAACGACGTGGATGGAACTAGAGGGTATTATGCTAAGCGAAATAAGTCAGAGAAAGACGTGTATCATATGATCTCACTGATATGAGGAATTTTTAATCTCGGGAAACAAACTGAGGGTTGCTGGAGTGGTGGGGGTGGGAGGGATGGGGTGGCTGGGTGATAGACACTGGGCAGGGTATGTGCTATGGTGAGTGCTGTGAACTGTGTAAGACTGATGAATCACATACCTGTACCTCTGAAACAAATACATTATATGTTAAAAAAGGGGGGGGGAGCACCTGGGTGGTTCAGTTGTTAAGCGTCTGCCTTCAGCTCAGGTCATGATCCCAGGGTTCTGGGATCGAGCCCCACATCTGGCTCCCCGCTTGACCAGAGGCCTGCTTCTCCCTCTCCCACTCCCCCTGCTTGTATTCCCTCTCACTGTCTCGATCTGTCAAATGAATAAATAAAATCTTAAAAAAAAAAAAGAATAGTAGGAAGGGATAAATGAAGGGGGGGAAATCGGAGGGGGAGATGAACCATGAGAGACTACGGACTCTGAGAAACAAACTGAGCGTTCTAGAGGGGAGGGGGTGGGGGGATGGGTTAGCCTAGTGATGGGTATTAAAGAGGGCACGTATTGAATGGAGCATTGGGTGGTGTTTTTTTTTTTTTTAAGATTTTATTTATGGGCGCCTGGGTGGCTCAGTTGGTTAAGTGACTGCCTTCGGCTCAGGTCATGATCCTGGAGTCCCTGGATCGAGTCCCACATCGGGCTCCCTGCTCGGCAGGGAGTCTGCTTCTCCCTCTGACCCTCCCCCCTCTCATGTGTTCTCTCTCTCATTCTCTCTCTCTCAAATAAATAAATAAAATCTTAAAAAAAAATTTTTATTTATTTGTCAGAGAGGGAGAGAGAGAGAGAGAGCACAAGCAGGGGGAGCTGCAGGCGGAGGGAGAAGCAGACTCCCCACTGAGCAGGGAGCCCGATGTGGGGCTGATCCCAGGACCCTGAGATCATGACCTGAGCTGAAGGCAAACACTTAACCAACTGAGCCACCCAGGCGCCCCTGGAGCACTTGGTGTTATATGCAAACAATGAATCCTGGAACACTACATCAAAAACTAATGACGTACGGTGATTAACATAATAAAATTAAAAAAAAAAAAATTCTTCCAGATAAGAAATCCTATTTTGGGGGTACCTGGGTGGCTCAGTCGTTAAGCGTCTGCCTTCGGCTCAGGTCATGATCCCAGGGTCCTGGGATTGAGCCCCGCGTCACACTCCCTGCTCAGCGGGAAGCCTGCTTCTCCCTCTCCCCTCCCCCTGCTTGTGTTCCCTCTCTCGCTGTGTGTGTGTGTGTGTGTGTGTGTCTCTCTCTCTCTCTGTCAAATAAATAATCTTAAAAGAAAAAAAAAGAACTCCTGTTTTGTTTTCCAGAATTGCATTCCACTTGCTCCCACTCTCCACCCCCTGCCCCACAAAGTTTAGTAAATAGACTTATTTTTGCACTTCAATACTCTTTGGAACACCACTGTTCTTATCTCAATAACCTTAAACCCTAAAATATATTTTTTAAAGATTTTATTTATTGGGGGGGGGGCAGAAGCAGGCTCCCTGCTGAGCCACCCAGGTGCTCCTATATTTTCTTTTTTTAAAAGATTTATTTACTAGAGAGAGAGTATGTGTGTGCGCATGCACCCAAGAGCAGACGGAAGGGCAGGGAATCTCAAGCAGACTCCCCACTGAGCGAGGAGCCCAAAGTGGGGCTCGGTCCCATGACCCTGAGATCATGATCTGAGCTGAAATCAAGAGCCGGCTGCTTAACCGACTGAGCCACCCAGGCGCCCCTAAACCCTAAAATATTTTCAATAAGATACTCTTTGAGACTGAACACTGAATATGTAAGATATGGCATAAGTATAAACATTTGGAAAACTGTCAAAACACAGGATGAATTACAATTTTAATAACCTTAAATTCATTTATTCAACATTTACTAAACATCTGGCAGAAAACAGTCCCGTCCTCAAGCAGCTCACAAGTTAGCAGTACATATAAATACAAATAACTCTATAAGCACTCATGCATGCATGTTTGTGTATATATGTACACACACACACGGCAAAAAGCTACAATGATTTTTTTTAAAAATTTAAGGTGAAGGTCAGGATGGAAAACTGATAAATTCAGCAGGTGTACGTTTGAAGAATCAGGAAAATGGAGGTAAGAAGGCTTGCTCAAAGGGCGCATGAAACA